TCTTTTTTTTCCTAATGTTGTCTGCATGCCTTATTTCAGCAAGGTGGTCTTCACACTGTGATATCCTTTCTTCCACTTGGTTGATTTGGCTATTGATAGTTGTGTATGGCTCACGAAGTTCTTCCGCTATGTTTTTCAGCTCCATCAGGTCATTTATGTTCCTCTCTAAACTGGTTATTTTAGATAGCAGCTCCTGTAATCTGTACCAAGGTTTTTAGCTTGTTTACATTGGGTTGGAACGTGCACCTTTTGCTCAGCAGAGTTTTTGTTAATCACCCATCTCTGAAGCCTGCGTCTGTCAATTTGTCCATCTTTTCGTCTGTTCAGTTCTGTGTCCTTATGGGAGAGGCATTGCAATCATTTGGAGGAGAAGAGGTACTCTGTCCTTTTGGGTTTTCAGCATTTTTTTTTTTGTTGTTGATTCTTTCTCATCTTCATGAGTTTGTCTGGTTTTGATCTTTGAGGATGCTCACTCTTGGATGGGGTTTTTTGGGGGGACTTTTTTTGTTGTTGATGCTGTTGTTGCTTTCTGTTTGTTTTCTTGCATTGGTCAGGTCCCTCTTCTGTAAGGCTGCTGCGGTTCGCTGGGGGTTCCCTTTAGGCCCTGTTCATCTGGTTCACTCCCGTGCCTGGAGGTGTCACTCAAGGAGGCTGGAGAACAGCAAAGATGGGTGCCTACTCTTTCTTCTGGGATCTCTCACCTTGAAGGGCATCAACCTCATACCAGTAGGATTGCTCCTGTATAGGGTGTCTGACAACCCCTGTTGGAGGGTCTCACCCAGTTGGGTGGCACAGGGAACAGGATCCATTTAACAAAGTACTTTGGTGGAGGGGGTGTGCTTCGCTGGGGGCAAACCCACTCATCTGGGCTGCTGGGATTTGTAAGAACCACTAGGTGGAAAGGCTAGTCGGCTGGTCTGAAGAGACTACAGCCACTACTCCCCCTGGGGCTCAGGCCCAGGGAGATCTGGGTTTTGTTCCTGAGCCTCCAGCTGGAGTTGTTGGAGTTCATGCAGGGAAAGCCTCACCCAGTGAGGAAGGATGGGTCAGGGTCAGGCCTGAAGAGGCTCTCTGGTGGGAGTCTGCCACAGCCAGCATGTTGGGTTGTGGGGGACACCTCTTGGGATGAAGTTGTCCAGCCTCCCTGGCATCAGCAGTGGAAAAGCACAGCCTGGAGCTTAGGGAGCTTAGCTTGTTAGGCAGTTATGAGTCCCAGTGCTGGCTGATGCTGCTTCCTCAAGGAGCTCAAACAGCTTAGACAGCAGGCGGTTGCAGCTGTGATGCTGGTCACTCCTCACCCCACAAGCTCGGCAGGCTTAAGCAGATTCCAACTCAGAGGCTGCTGAGAATGTGCGCAGCTTCAGGGTTGGGACGCTAGGCCCAGGTGGCATGGGTTCACGAGTGGGATCTTCCAATCTATGGGTTGCATAGTTCTGTGGAGAAAGCATGGTTTCCATGCGTTGCACAGTTCCATGGAGAAAGCACGGTTTCCCTGGCTGGGTAGCACCCTCACTCAGTGTCTTCCTTGGCTGGGGGGTGGGGGCTCCCCTGCCCTGTGTGGCTCTCAGGTGGCCACCATACCACACTGTTCTTCCTTCTCTGTGGGTCATGCCAGCTGCGTAGTCAGATCTATTGAGAGAACCTGGATAACTTGGTTGCCAGTGAAGGGTTCACTCTGTAATTACGGTTCTTTTCAATGGGAGCCTCCAATCGCCTGTGTTTCTAGTGGGCAGTCTTGGCCTTGACCCTGATCATGTGATTTTTCTTCATTAGCTTTGATGCAATCAGTTACACTAATTGATTTCTAAATGTTGAAACAGCCTTGCATATCTGGGATAAATCGCGCTGAGTTGTGGCGTATAATTCTTTTTTATATTTTGTTGGATTCCCATAGCTAATATTTTCCTGAGTATTTTTGCATCTGTCTCATAAGACATATTAGTTTTCTTGGCTTGTGGTATCTCTGTTTTTGGTATTAGGGCAATAGTGGCTGCATAGGATGAGTTAGGAAATATTCCTTCTGCTTTTATTTTTACAAAGAGGTGGTGGAGAATTGGTATAATTTCATCCTGAAATGTTTGGTAGAATTTACCCGTGAATCCATCTGTGCCACATGTTGTAGCTTTTGTAAGTGTATTAATTATTCATCCATTTAAAAATATCATCTATGTCCATCTAGATTGTCTATTTATTCTTGTGTGAGTTTTGGTAGATTGTGTTTTTCAAGAAATTGGTGTATTTCATGTAGGTTATCAAATATATGGGCTTATCAAATATAGTTGTTCATAATATTCCTGTTATACTTTTACTATTCTTTTCTTGTCTGTGGTATCTGTAGTGAAGTGTTCGCTTTCATTTGTGAAACCAGTATTTGGTGTCTTTTTCTTAATCTGGCTAGAGGCCTCTCAATTTTGTTTATCTTTTCAAGTAACCAAATTTTGGTTTCATTGATTTTTGTCAAGCTCCTGTTTTCTGTTCTCTGCTTACTCTGGAATTGACTTGATCTTCTTTTACTCATTTCCTAAGTTGGAAGCTTAGATTACTCATTTTAGATCTTTCTTCTTTTTGAATATAGGCATTTATAGTTTACAAATAAGAAAAATAAAAAATTTTATTTTACTTTTATTGATTCTTCCTCTGATGCTCTTTCTTGACATAGATCTGAATTTCTTACCTATGTCATTTGCCTTCTCTTTGGAGAACTTCTAACATTTCTTAGAAGACAGGTCTACTGGCAACAGGTTATTATCTTCTTCTTCTTCTTCTTCTTCATTTTTTTGAATCTGTGGACATCCTTATTTCTCTATCACTTATGGAGGATAATTTCACAGGATACAGAATTCTAGGTTGGTAGGTCTTTTTCTCTGAACACTTAAAAGATTTCCCTCCATAATGTTCTTACTTGCATGGTGTCTGAGAAATCAGATAAAATTCTTATCTTTGTTTTTCTGTAGTTAAGGTTTTTTTTTTTTCTGGATTTTATGAACTGTTTTAAAATCTTTGATTTTTTCAGTTTAATATGATATGCCTAGGTGTTGGTTTTTGGGCATTTATTCATTCTCTTTGGTGTTCTCTGAACTAGCCAGTCTGTGATTTTGTGTCTGACACTAATTTGGGGAAATTCTCATGCGTTATAGCTTTTCATATTTCCTCTGTTTCTTTACCTCTTTCTTCTTGTAATATTCCCATTATGCCTGTGCTACACCTTTTGTAGTTGTCCCACAGTTCTTTAATATTATGTTATGGATTTTTAAGTCTTTTTTTTTCTTTCCTGTGTTGGAATTTTCTATTAATATATAATATGGTTCAGGGATTCTTTTTCACATCCTGTTTACTAGTGAGCCCATCCAAGGCATTGTTCATTTTTGTTACAGTGTTTTAATTTTTAGTGTTTCTTTTTCATTCTTTCTTACACTTTCTCTCTGCTAATATTGCCCGTAAGTGCTTATATGCTATATACTTTATCTGTTGATAATAATTGTTTTAAATTCCTAGCCTGATAATTCATCATCTCTGACATGTCTGGTTCTTGTTTTGTTACTTGTTGTCAAACTGTGATTTTTTTCTTTTAGTGTGCTTTTAATTGTCTTTTCTTTTCTTTTGTTTTGGATAGATGGACATGATGTACCAGATAAAAGCAATTACTGTAAATAGACCTTTAAGAATGTGGTGGTAAGATGCGAGAGGAAGAAAAGCATTCTGCAGTCCTGTTAGGTTTCAGTCTTTTAAGCTACTTATGCCTAGTGTTCCATTATTGGAATGCTATACATGTGGGAGTTATTTATATTCTACTGCTAAAGGTTATCACCAAGCTCTGATTGAATGATTCTTGAGGGTTGATGAGTGGAATAATTTGACTCAGTCAGAATCTCTTTGCAAGTGAAAGTGGCTCACCCTCCCTCACAATTTTGATTATATGGCCTTTTAATTTCCAATCTGAGAATAAAGAAAATTGTACCAAAGTAAATATGAAAATGAGCAATGTAATAGGAGCAATGACTCTTTCTTTATGACACTACACTGGCAATGTTTGAATACTGTAGCTTTTTTATTTATAATATAAGTCATTTTTAGCTTTCCAAATAATTCTCTCAAGACAAAGAGGTGTTATGTGTTATTGGTCTTTATAGTCCTTGTTTTTGACTTACGCTAGTTGCCTTAGTTGTAAATAATTTATATTTTTTGAATTATAAAATACTTTATGCACATGAGGAGATTAATATCCCAATACATATCACTGAGATTTAACCAATATAATTCTTTATTTTTTTTAGATTTAATTTTTTTAAAGTATTATAGAAAGTTGAAAACTTATTTATTTTATATTCCCTGATTCTATTACTCTCCTTCTTTAGAGTTATCTACTATCCAAATAGGCTTGAACCCTTCCAGTCTAAATTTTTATATTTTATTTTACATGTACACATTTATACATTATAGTATGTTTTATATTTCTAAATTTTTATTAATAATAACATTGTGCCTATCATTCTAAAATTTGTTATTTTACCAGTACCTTAGGCTTTAAATTATTTTCTCTATAGGTAAAATTTATTGCCACATACTATTGGAAATTTGTTACCACACTTACTTTTTGATATATGAACCGTGCTTGAAATATAATAACATTCAGCTTTGGCTTGTAATTGTTTGACTATCGGGGTACTTGTGTTCTTGGAATTTCACTTTTTAAACCTAACTTATTTAATACTCGTATGATATTACTCTCTTGCTCATTTTACATGTGTACAATCCTCCAATGTTGATAGTCCGTTTTTTTCCCCCAAAACACACATGGGGAATTTAAAGGTAGAAAAGGGAGGATAACTTATTTCTTAAATCTGAATTGAATATATATTTTTCACCATCCAGACCAGATCTTACAGTCTGCCATGTGGGACTGTGTTTGTAACCTGTTGGATTTTTAAATATATGCCATTAGGTTTCTAAATTTATTTGGGCTGTATTAGAATTGAGTATAATACAGCTCTCTTCTGCAGGTGCCCACAACAAAGTAAGACAGATAACTCTGTGAAGCAGGCTGCGCGCAATAAAGAAAAACGAAGAACTGATGATGGCATTTCTCTTTTAATGTCTGATACTCAGCCTAAAGGTTTGTGAACCTTAGAAAACTGTTGGAATTTGAGTTTGTGCCTATTGTATTTATAATAATTTTTGTTATAAATAAATTATTTCATTTTGCTTTAAAAGGATATGTGAAAGTAAAGGGAGATTATTTGGCAACACAAGGAGAATTGCAAAACCTACTCTTTATGTGGCATAGTACTCATTTCCAGATTTATTTACTAATCCCAAAAGTTAAATTTGGATATTTTTTTTTTCTTCTTTGGGGAGACTGGGATATGGCTATGAAGTTACGTTAATTTAGCTATTTCTAGGTGTTGTTTCCATGGATATTAAAGTTACTGCTTACTGAGTTTTTATTATTAGCTTATCACTGTCTATTCGCCTACCATGAAATACATTCTCTATTCATTAGAATTTCTTTCAACTTTAGGGTGATGCCAAAACAAGCCACTATTAGCAAATTTGAAGGTAAATACTTCCTAGACTTCTGAAAATTTTTAGTAGGCCTCCGTGCATATAGGATTTGTGATTTGACTTCTTTTTCTTTTTTGTCTCTCTTTCAAGAATTAAAAATATTTTACTGATATTTGGAGAAAATCAATTTTACTACATTATTTGTGAAACCAACACCTTCAGGGGTCTCTTGGATTATCGATAGCTTAAATATTTGTTGAGGTCTGGTTTGTTCTTTCTTTTCTTTTTCTTATTCTTTTTCTGAGACAGGGCCTGACTCTGTCACCTATGCTGGAGTACAGTGGCATGATCACACATGATCAGCTCACTTCAGCCTCTACCTCCTGGGCTTAGGTGATTCTCCCACATCAGCTTCCTGAGTAGTTGAGACTATAGGTATGCACCACCATGCCTGACTAAGTTTTTGTATTTTGCAGAGACAGGGTCTTGCCATGTTGCCCAGGCTGGTCTCAAACGCCTGGGCTCCAGATATCTGCCTGCCTCGGCCTCCCAAAGTGCTGGGATTATAGGCGTGAGCCACCGCGCTTAGCCACTATTTTATTTTTGAGTGATTTCATAAGTTATTCACGATACAAAAAAAAGTCTTTTAATGACACTATGCAAAATCCACTTCATTTGGAGCACAGCTAAAGATTCTTTTTCATTAAAAAAAAAATTAAAATGAAATTAGACTAACAACTTTTATTTGTACAAGAAACCAGCTGAAACTCTTATAAAGGCAGTCTTTGGAAAATGTGCTGTGACTTTGTACAGATAAATTTTCAGCTAGTCACTAAGTACTGTCAACGTATCATTATACATTTGACATTTATTTTCTTATGAACTGTACTTTTCTTAGAAATAACTACAGTCATCTCTCTGTATCTTTGTATTCTGTATCTGCAGATTCAATCTACCACAGATGGAAAATATTTGAAAACACCTTAATAAAAATAATACAATAATAAAAAATACAGTGTAACAAGTATTTACATAGTATTTATGTTGCATTGGGTATTATAAGTTAGATTACTTATAGAGATTATATTATTACTTATAGAGATTAAAGTATACAGGAGAATATATACAGGTTATATGCAAATATTTTACCTTTAGGGGCTTATGGATCCATCAGTTTTGGTATCTGGAGTCCCTGGGACCCTGAGGATACTGAGGGATGACTGTATTGATTATCAAGTAAAAATATAAGTATTTGTACAAGTGGGGTCAGTTCAGGTATTATCAAGACAAACATTCCTACTCTACCTAGGAGAGTTAGTAGAATGTGAGGACTAACAGTTCTCATATTGACTTGAATAAAATACTTTCTGATTTGTACCCAGGAGTATTACCTCAAGATTACAGCGGCATCTTAGACATGCGTTAGGGGAAAGTACATGACAAAAGAAACACTTTTTAGTTTTTCAGTATCCCTGAAGGTACCACTATTGGTAGGGAAAGTGTTTTTGAATAAAATTAGCTGTTGCACCTTTATTGAAGCAGTGTTTATCCTCCTACATCTGATACCAGTTATTTAATAAAAACCTGTAAATTAATGGAAATTCTGAATTAAACTTTAGGTGTACCATTTTTTTTTTTTGGCAGCACATTGTTTGCCTTTTGGAATTTGCTTTTACCACATAATACCTTGGAAATAATATTCTCTTGTTTACAGGATTTTGCTATCTCTTTAGTTATATATGCTAGTAGTATTTTCAGGTTAAATTATGTATATATTATGCAAGTGGAATCCTATTTTTACAATTTTTCATTCTGTTTAACAAAGTTATTCCTTTTTCCATGAGACAGGCTTGTTTGATATGCAAATAATAAATTGTTTAAAATGAAACTCCTGTATAATCAAGTTTTTCTCAAGCCCGTTTCCTTTTATGAGTCTTTATTGTAGTATGATATTTATGTTTAGAAATTATAGTTTTGATACATTTTGTATAGAAATTGTGTTTGACCACTTTTATAGTTTACAATATTACATATAAAATTTAACGTTCTGTTCTAAATATTGTGTTGATGATTTGAGGGGAGTTTTATTTTCCTTAGTAAGTAAGGTGTTTTCTCTGGAAATTGAAAGGCAATTGACTGTCTTGGAATTTTTACCCTCAATCCTGTTACAGTACCTTCCTTTAAGCAATATCAAAGACAAATTATCATGAATATTAGTTATTAGGAATTGTTGAAGTTAGAGTAAAAGCAAGAATAGTTTGAAGAGAAGATTTTAAAGATCATAAACTTTCCTTGAATGGAGAAGTCAGGACAGTCAGTCAGATGAATTGAAAATGGTGAATTAAATGCAACTGCTTTGTGACTTGCTGTGTATAAACTTTGTGTTGGTACTTGTATGACATAGATTCACAAAGCAAAATAATTCAGGAGAACTTTTAGTTAATTAAGTGGAGACTTTTAGAAGGCATTTTTGTACAGTATATATATTTGATAACAGAAATATTAAATATTTTTATTTTTTAAATTTTTTAATTTTTATTTTTTATTTTTTTGAGACGGAGTTTCGCTCTTGTTACCCGGGCTGGAGTGCAATGGCGTGATCTCGGCTCACTGCAACCTCTGCCCCCTGGGTTCAGGCAATTCTCCTGCCTCAGCCTCTTGAGTAGCTGCGATTACAGGCACGCACCACCATGCCCAGCTAATGTTTTGTATTTTTCGTAGAGACGGGGTTTCACCATGCTGACCAGAATGGTCTCGATCTCTTGACCTCATGATCCACGCGCCTCGGCCTCCCAAAGTGCTGGGATTACAGGCTTGAGCCACCGCGCCCGGCTAAATATTTTTAGTAATGATTGGCATGGGTTTCAAAATGATGTCTTGTTGACTTAAAAAAGGAAGCACTTCTCTAGACTAATGGATTTATTGGAGACTTAAAAGAACATAGTCTTGATTATTGAAAAGAAGAAATAAACTGACAAATTGGTAACCTTCTGAATGATCACATATTATAGTCAACTACCGAGGAAAGATATTTTGGCTCCTTTTTAAAAAGCAGCGATCAACACTCTTCAAATTATAGTCCCTTTCCACTAAAAAATATGTATGTAAATTACATTTTTAAAAGACTAGTTTATAAAGTCATGCTGAATTATCAAACTTTAAGACATGAATTTTCCAGATTTTAATAAGGCACCCCCTTTTTTGATAGTGCAGCCAAGTGCATTTATAGCAAATGGAAAAACAGTTTGGTTGCTTTGCTTTGGCTACTCTGAAAAAGAATATTTCTTCCTTATGTATTTTTCTCACCTCACAGCTATTGTATAATGAACATTTACTTTGTGTATACCAATTAAAATAGGGCATGCCTTTACCTTCATCCAGTGTCAGTATGATAATTTAACAGCACACTTCTGTTTTAAGGGGCTTTGGAAGTAGTAGAGCAATTTTGATGGTGTTTCTTTGAGCTCTTCTAAAAGAGATTCTCTCTATACTTTTTTGTCCATATTTATACTTAATTTGTTTTTTAAGACCTTAACAGTGGAGGTAGAGGTTGTCATCATCTTGAACAGGAAAGCAGAAACAAGGATGTTAAATATTCTGATTCAAAAATGGAACCCACTCTGATTTCCCGGAAGAGAAAGAGAAGGCTTAGAAATAATTTATCTGATTCTCAAAATTGTACTTCTTTGGATAAGTCAACAGAAGAGACAGTAAGTAGAGGTGTTTAGATATTACTGTATAGGAAATAATTTTATGCTGTAATAAAAATGAGTTGACTATGGTCAAATAATGTTCCTCTAGCTTTCTGTTTTTATTATCAGATTTCTTTCTTTCTTTTTTGGTTCACTGTTAGCTTTATTTTTGAGAAACAATTTTAAATGTAACTTTTCTTGGTAATAAAGAGTTATTGGAACAAATTTCAAATATTATGAATGAGTAAAAAAGTCAAAATTTCTTCTTTTCTTGTATCATTCTTTCCTTAGTAGTTTGTTATATATCCTTAAGGCTTTTCTTTTTCCTTAATTCAACCAAATACTATTCATATTGTCTAGTCACTCTCTTTTTTACTTGCTCTGTAAAATTATTATTAGATATATTTATCAGTAGTAATTTACTTACCAAATTCTTTAAGCTTCTGTTTATCTGGAGTTTAGGGAATTTATTGTAAGTAAATAATTACCATATTAAATACATACATTTTCTGTTTTCAAAGACTTAATATATAGGTGGCAATAAAACAGTAAGACAGCTCTTTCAATTCCTTTGATCTGTAAATCATTTCAGGACCTTGTAATGTTTTGGGGTTGTAATTATAAACATGATTTAGATTTATACAGTAAATGAGATATTGAAGGCAATGGTTGATTTTCATAATTCTTAATGTTATATTGTTAATTTAAAAAATTTTTAACCAAAGTAGTTGGTCACTTTTACAAAATAAAAATCTGTAAATAAATCTTCTTATTCTAAAGTTGACTTAGATAAGGGGAGGCCATCTGATAAAGCATTTGTAAAGATGGAAATCTCCTAATTTTCCCCTTAAAAAATTATCAGGCATCAGAATGGACAGACCAAACTCTGTATCTTTATACTTGGGAGACAGTGTCAAGCATAACATAGTGTCATTGTTTAGTTTTCTATCCATCTACTTATGGAAATGATATAATATTTTTCCTTTTATATATTTTTTAAGAATTTAAAAATGGATGAAGCAAGCCAAATTTGAAAAATGCTATTTTTTCTCTGTGTTTATGTTTAGAAAAAACAAGATGATGACTCAGCAATATCCACTGAGTTTGAAAAGTCAAGTGAAAACTATCATCAGGATCCAAAACTGCTTGAAGAAATTACATCTAAACCTACAAAAAATGATTTTAGTAAACTATCCTCACTTAACAATCAGGAGTTGGCTTTCAGTAACACCACCAAAAGTGCCTCTGCCTGTTCAACCACTGAAACTGTTGAGAACTCTAATTCCACTGATACTTCGGGGATTTCTTCCCTGGTTGAGAAGGATGAGAGTGAGTTGAATACAATAGAAAAGCCTATTCTAAGAGGACGTAATGAAGGGAACCAATCATTGATCTCAGCTGAACCAAGTAAGTGACAGGAGGATTATAAAGTTACTTAACTTCCTCTGTTTTACTTAGTTGTTTTTTCTTCCTCTTGAACAAATTTGGCTAAGGCAATAAGCTGTTTATGACATCACTGTGGAATATATTAACTTTAGGAAAAAAGGCTTGGAGTTTGGGGTCTCCTTCATAAGACTTAAAATATTTATTTAGGTAAACTAATGGAGAACTTGAAAACAGAAGTATTTTTTTTTTTGGTTTGTTCCCTTTAATTTTGTGTAGTTTAAAAATAAATTATTTAAGGACCATCGTTACTGTCATTTAGTTGATGAAGTTGAAGTGTGGAAAGTTTAAGTGCTATCTAATTATTATTAATTTTGATTTAAGCAGCCTCTGAGTAGTTGATGCCATCACCTGGTACAAAGAAATTTCAAAAGTTTTAGAGGATCGCCAGTGAATAGTCTCCCACATCTTCCCCTACGTATTCATTTCCCCCTCCTTGAAGCAATTTACGTAACAGGAATTAAAGTACAATTTAGTGGTGGCACAATACACTGTTAGAACTAGAACTTGTTCCTAAGGCCTCCTCATGGCTTTATCCATTTTTAAACATCTTTATTCTTTAGAAGGTGAGGGTGCAGGTAACTGTTGAATAATTGCTCTGATATGGAGTCATTGTCTATAACTGCTATAAATCAGATAACAAATGATAGGTATGTTTCTAAATTGAATAAATTTAGATGATTAAATTTAACAGCATTGTTAAAAATAAATTGCATTAATTAGAAAGTTTTTTTTTTTTTTGAGACAGAGTCTGGCTGTGTCAGCTGGGCTGGAGTGCAGTGATGCGATCTGAGCTCACTGCTGCCTCTGCCTCCTGGGCTCAAGAAATTCTCCTGCCTCAGCCTCCTGAGTAGCTGGGATTACAGGTGTGCGCCACCATGCTCAGCTAAATTTTTGTATTATTATTATTATTTTTGGAGATGGTGGTTCGCTCTTGTTGCCCAGACTGGAGTGCAATGGCACGATCTCTGCTCACCGCAACCTCTGCCTCCCAGGTTCAAGTGATTGTCTTGCCTTAGCCTCCAAGTAGCTGGGATTACAGGCATGCATCACCACACCCGGCTAATTTTGTATTTTTAGTAGAGACGAGGTTTTTCCATGTTGGTAAGGCTGGTCTTGAACTCCTGACTTCACTTGATCCGCCTGTCTTGGCCTCCCAAAGTACTGGAATTACAGGTGTGAGTCATTGAGCCCAGCCGATTTTTGTATTTTTAGTAGAGATGGGGTTTCACCATGTTGGCCAGGCCGGTCTCGAACTCCTGACCTCGGGATCCACCCACCTCAGCCTCCCAAAGTCCTGGGATTACAGGAGTGAGCCACCATTCCCGGCTGAAAGTTTTTTTTTTTTTTTTTTTAAATATTTGATTGTTACACATTTAAAATACTTTTTTTTTGGCTGGGTGTAGTAGCTCATACCTATAATCTCAGCACTTTGGGAGGCTGAGGCAGGTGGATCATCTGAGGTCAGGAGTTTCAGACCAGCCTGGCTATCATGGTAAAACCCCATCTCTGCTAAAAATATGAGTTGGCTGGCATGGTGGCTGGCACTTGTAATCCCAGCTACTTGGGAGGTTGAGGCAGGAGAATTGCTTGAGCCTGGGAGGTGGAGGATGCAGTCAGCCGAGATCAGGAGACTGTGTCTTGAAAAAAAAAAAAAAAAAAAAAGAATAAATAAAAGTACATTTTTCTTTTCCTTTTTAGTTGTTGTTTCCAGTGATGAAGAAGGACCTGTTGAACATAAAAATTCAGAAATTCTTAAGTTACAACCTAAGCAAGAGCATGAGTCAACTGATGAAAATGAGAGTACTTCTGAATCAGCATTGTCAAAACTACCATTGATTACACGTGAATCTGGGCAGGTAATTTACTTCTGTCTTCTCACAGAATAACAATGAAATATACAGTATTGTTAAGGACTGTTACTTGTTTTATCAAGCAGAATATTATAATGAAAATTAGAAATTTTCTTAGTTTGAATTTTGAGACAACTTTTTTATAGTAGTTTGAGTGAAATACATAGTTGTCTTTATTTTGAAATAAAAGATTATACCATTTTTTTCTGGTCATTTATATTTTTTTCAGTCCAAATATTACTTGAATTTTTTTTATGGCTTTCATTGGACATTTCAATAACATTTTGTAGAATTAAATACATTTTCTAATATATGTCTGGTCTTGGAGTATTTTGGCTACTTGGAATTATTCCTTTTTCTCACATACTGTGAAGGCAGTATAATATAGAGGAAAGAACATGGCTTTGGGGATACAGGTCAGAAACCTATAAGGTTTGGCAAGTCCTCTGTCTCTTCCTTCTTATAGAAAATAATAAATGGAAGTGTGTTAGTTTAGTATCAGTCAATTAGTTCAGTCCTTTAAAAAGTGAAGGTCTAAAATAGGTTCAAATCATTTATTATCAGTATTTATTCTTTCTTTCTTTTTTTTTTTAAGTATATATATATTTTATTGCACTCTAGGTTCTACGGTATATGTAAAAAACATGCAGGATTGTTGCATAGGCACATACACGGCAATGTGGTATATTGCCTCTAACCCCATCACCAATATCTGGTATTTCTCCCCATGTTATCCCTCCCCAACTCCCTACCCCCTGCTGTCCCGACTGTAGTCCCCATCAACAGACCCCAGTGTGTGATGCTCCCCTCCCTGTGTTCATGTGTTCTCATTGTTCAACACCCGCCTATGAGTGAGAACATGCAGTGTTTGATTTTCTGTTCTTGTGTCAGTTTGCTGAGAATGATGGTTTCCAGCTTCATCCATGTCCCTACAAAGGACACAAACTCATCATTTTTTATGGCTGCATGTATTCCATGGTGTATATGTGCCACATTTTCCCTGTCCAGCCTATCATCCATGGGCATTTCAGTTGGTTCCAGGTCTTTGCTGTTGTAAACAGCACTGCAGTAAACATACTTGTGCATGCGTCTTTATAATAGAATGATTTTTTATCCTTTAAATATATACCCAGTAAAGGGATTGCTGGGTCAAATGGAATTTCTATTTCTAGGTCCTTGAGGAATTGCCACACTGCCTTCCACAATGGTTGACCTAATTTACACTCCCACCAACAGTGTAAAAGTATTCCTATTTCTCCACATCCTCTTCAGCATCTGTTGTCTCCAGAATTGCCATTCTAACTGGTGTGAGGTGATATCTCAATGTGGTTTTGATTTGCAGTTGTCTAATGACCAGTGATGAAGAGCATTTTTTCATATGTTTATTGACCTCATATATGTCTTCTTTTGAAAAGTGTCTGTTCATATCCTTTGCCCACTTTTGGATGGTTTTTTTTTTTCTTGTAAATCTGCTTTAGTTCTTTGTAGATTCTGGATATTAGCCCTTTGTCAGATGGGTTGATTGCAAAAATTTTTTCCTATTCTGTTGGTTGTTGGTTCACTCTAATGATTGTTTCTTTTGCTGTGGAAAAGCTCTGAGTTGAATTAGATCCAATTTGTCTATTTTGGCTTTTGTTGCCAATGCTTTTGGTGTTTTAGTCATGAAGTCCTTGCCTATGCGTATGTCCTGAATGGTTTTGCCTAGGTTTTCTTCTAGGGTTTTTATGTTGTAAGGACTTATATTTAAGTCTTTAATCCATCTGGAGTTAATTTTAGTGTAAGGTGTCTGGAAGTGGTCCAGTTTCTGCTTTCTGCACACTGCTAGCCAGTTTTCCCCACACCACTTATTAAACAGGGAATTCTTTCCTCATTGCTTGTTTTTGCCAGGTTTGTCAAAGATCAGGTGGTTGTAGATGTGTGGTGTTGCCTCTGAGGCCTCTGTTCTGTTCCATTGGTCTATATCTGTGTTTTGGTACCAGTACCATGCTGTTTTGATTACTGTAGCCTTGTAGTATAGTTTGAAGTCAGGTAGTATGATGCCTCCAGTTTTGTTCTTTTTGCTTAGAAATGTCTTGGCTATGTGGACTCTCTTTTGGTTCCATATGAAGTTTAAGGTGATTTTTTTCCAGTTCTGTGAAGAGGGTCATAGGTAGCTTGATGGAGATAGCATTCAATCTATAAATTACTTTGAGCAGTATGGTCATTTTCACAATATTGATTCTTCCTAACCATGAGTGTGGAATGTTTCTCCATCTGTTTGTGTCCTCTCTTATTTCCTTGAGAAGTGGTTTGTAGTTCTCCTCGAAGAGGTCCTTTACATCCTTTGTTAGCTGTATTTCTGGGTATTTTATTCTCTTTGTAGCAATTGTGAATGGCAGCTCGTTCTTGATTTGGCTCTCTGTTTGTCTATTATTGGTGTATAGGAATGCTCGTGATTTCTGCACATTGATTTTGTATCCTGAGACTTTAGTGAAGTTGATTCTCAGTTTCAGGAGATTTTGGGCTGAGATGATGGGGTCTTCTAAATATACAATCTTGTCATCTGCCAATAGAGACAATTTGACTTCCTTCTTTCCTAATTGAATCCGCTTTATTTCTTTTTTCTTACCTGATTCCTCTGGCTAGAACTTCCAATACTATATTGAACAGGAATGGTGAGAGAGGGCATCCTTGCCTAGTGCTAGATTTCAAAGGGAATGCTTCCAGTTTTTGCCCATTCAGCATGATATTGGCTGTGGGTTTGTCGTAAATAGCTTTTATTATTTTGAGATACGTTCCATCAATACCTAGTTTATTGAGAGATTTTAGCATAAAGGGCTGTTGAATTTTGTTGAAGGTCTTCTCTGCATCTATTGAAATAATCATGTAGTTTTTGTCTTTGGTTCTGTTTATGTGGTGCATTATGCTTATAGACTTGCATATGTTGAACCAGCCTTGCATCCCCGGGGTGAAGCCTACTTGATCATAATGGATAAGCTTTTTTATGTGCTGTTGCAGTTGGTTTGCCAGTATTTTATTGAAGATTTTTGCATCTATGTTCATCATGGATATTGGCTTGAAGTTTTCTTTTCTTGATTATCTGCTGGGTTTTGGTATCAGGATGATGTTGGTCTCATAAAATGATTTTGGAAGGATTCCTTCTTTTGGTACTGTTTGGAGTAGTTTCAGAAGGAGTGGTACCAGCTCCTCTTTGTATGTCTGGTAGAATTCGGCTGTGAACCCATCTGGACCTGGGCTTTTTTTGGTGGTGAGCTGTTAATTGCTGCCTCAACTTCAGCCCTTGTTATTGGTCTATTCAGGGTTTCACCTTCTTCGTGGTTCAGGCTTGGGAGGAGGCAAGCGTCCAGAAATTTATCCATTTTTTCCAGGTTTACTAGTTTATGTGCATAGAGTTGTTTGTAATAATCTCTAATGTTGGTTTGAATTTCTGTGGAATCTGTGGTGATATCCCCTTTATCATTTTTTATTGCATCTGTTTGATTCTCCTCTGTTTTCTTTTTTATTAATCTGGCTAGTGGTCTGTCTGTTTTGTTGATTTTTTCATAAAACGAGCTCCTGGATTATTAATTTTTTGTGGGTTTTTTGTGTCTATAATTATCTCCTTCAGTTCTGCTATGATATTAGTTATTTCTTGTCTTCTGCTAGCTTTTGAGTTTTTTTGATCTTGCTCCTCTAACTCTTTCAATTTTGATGACAGGGTGTCTATTTTAGATCTTTCCTTGCTTCTCATGTGGGCATTTATTGTTATAAATTTTCCTCTAGACACTGCTTTAAATGTGTCCCAGAGAGTTTGGTACATTGTGTCTTCGTTCTTGTTGGTTTTGAACAATATCTTAGTTTTTGCCTTCGTTTCATTGTTTATCCAGTCAACATTCAAGAGCCACTTGTTCATTTTCCTTGAAGTTGTGCCTCGATAGTGGTGTACTGCCTCGGTAATGGCTGATGTCCTTCCCCCCACAGAGCTGGATTGTCCCTAGTCCAGCTCTGCTTGCTGTGAAACTTTCAATCCAGAGTGTTTCAGATTGCTGGTCTTTGTGGGGTGGGACCCACCGAGCCAGATCACCTGGCTCCCTGTTTCAGCCCCCTCTTTTTCAGTTGAATAGGTGACTCTGTCTCCTAGGTGGTCCAGGCATCAGTTGAAACGGTGCCCAGATTTGTGTGAGTTTTTGTGCGGAGACCTGCTGCACCGGCTGAAATAGCTGTGCTGGAAACTCGTGGCGCTTTTCCGCCCAGGAATCCCCTGGTCTGTGGGCAGTAAAAATTCGTTTGGAAATGCGGTGATCACTCACTCTCTGTGTTGTCTCTGGGAACTGCACTTCAGAGCTGTTTCTATTCGGCCATCTTGGACCGACCAACCTACCTTCCTTCCTTCCTTCCTTCCTTCCTTCCTTCCTTCCTTCCTCCCTTCCTTCCTTCCTCCCTCCCTCTCTCCCTCCCTGCAAATCCTTCCCCCTCCATCCCTCTCTCCCTCCCCCTCCCTCTCCCTCCCTCTCGCACTCACTCGTGCTGTCTCTCTCTCTTTTTTTCTTTCTCTTTCTGTCTCTCTTTCTTTTCTTTTTCACTTTCTTTTTCTTTTTTCTTTCCAAGGTCTTTCTCTGTTTCCCAGGCTGGAGTACAGTGGCGTGATCATGGCTTACTGAAGCCTCAACTTCTTGGGGCTCAAGCATCCCTCTCATTCAGCCTCTCAGGGAGCTGAGGTCATAGGCTTGTGCCAGCATGCCTGGCTCATGTTTTTAAAATATATATTATTTGTAGAGATGATGTCTTTCTGTGTTGTTCAGGCTGGTCTCTTAAGTCCTGGGCTCAAGCAATCCTCCTAACTCTGCCTCCTAAAGTAGTAGGATCACATGCATGAGCTACTGCTGTTGGCTGGTGCTCTTTCTCATTATTAGCCTCTGATTATTCTATTTGTAAGAAAAGATTATCATTGACCACCAGTGCAGAATAATGGTAAACTTCTTTTGTTTCGTTTTTGAATAATGTCAGAGACTGTCATTTTGCAGTGTGTGATGAAGAGTTTGGTCTGATTATTGTTTCATGGGTATTTCCTTTTGCATTTGGTATTCCATGTAGAAATCACCTCAGCAGCTTTGTTCTGAATTTTTGCAAAAGTGTAACCATTTTTGCCAGTTTGGATCAATATCCTACTTGATGATTTAGTTGTATATATAATTAGAAGTGACAATGTGGATAATGAATTTAAACTTGTAGAAGAACTAGGCCTTGGCAATGTATCAATTGACAATGCAGTATGAACTGATCATATTATAAGAAAATAACATATCTTATAGAATTTACTAAATTCATAATCACAACCAAGCAGCCAATACTGTGGAGATCTACCAAGACATATATGGCAGAATGCCACATCTGTATGCTGTCTCATTCCAGTTTAAAATGAATTATGAGAAATATGGATTGGTCATTTTTAGGAGCCAGCTAGTATTTTTAAGCAAATGTGAAGTGAATATAGTAGTAGTATAAATAAACATGAGAATGACAAAGAAATTCAATTAAGCAGGTAAATGGTGCTATTAGCTGGGTTTAAAATAATGAGTAATGATACGTGTTTTAGGTGAGGATTAGTCACATTTGCTAGAGGTAAGAGGGAGTGAGTACATATGCATAATAATTGCTTTAGTGGTAATCTATTTATTTAGTCATGTGTGATGTTAGGAATAATGTGCAGAGGTTAGGCACATTTGAAAAAGTTGAAAAAGTCATCTGAAAGTAGTGGAAAATTTAGAAGAAATTGTGAGAAAGAGTTGCTGCTGATATTGCCCATTTTTCTTTTATATAAAAGCAAAGTTATATAGTCATTTGAGTGGAAGTGATGTGATTTTTGAGGTTTTAGGCAAGTATAAGCTATTTCTGGTTGGTTGTCTTCAAACAGAGTATACAATAAAGCATATAGATTTGATATAACAGATGGTTCTTAGGCATTTACATTCCTTCATGGCACATTAAAAGTACGGTATCACACAGGCCTAAAGATGGGAACAGTAGACATTGGAGACTCCAAAAGTAGGGGGAGGGATGAGGGGAGCCGGGGCCATAAAACTTCCTGGTGGGTACTATCTGGGTGACAGGTTCAATAGAAGCCCAAACCTCAGCATCATGTAATATGCATTTGTAACGAATCTGCACATGTGCCCCCTGAATCTAAAATAAAAATAATTTTTTAAAGGGGAGTAGCAAGAAAGCTATTTTGGTTAATGGAAACAATTTTATGTGGTTGAAGTGACGCTGGACCTAGAGAGGGAAACCTGCATTTGAATCTTTGTTTTGCTTCTTACTAATCACATAATTTTGGTCAAGTCACTTAACCATTGTAAACACCCATTAACTTTATTTATGAAGTGTAAAACTAAAAATCCTGCCTATAGTGGTTGTGGGGATTTAAAGAGATTATATATTTAAAAACTCATTTTAAACAAAGTACATATATTTTCTGTCAAGTTAAAAATGAATAAAACCTATTCGAGACTACTGAATGTGAAACCATGGCTTTGAGACAGGAGTATATATTTCTGGAGCTTAGGCTGTGAAATTAATTTTGGATTCAACTATTTAGTGTAATTTTCTCAAAGGTAAGTCATACATTTTTTCACAAAAAAAGTCTCGATAATGATTTCTTCACAGAAAAGTATAAAATTCTTCAAAAATTCACTAATAGTAATTTATAGAAGAATTTGACAGTGAAAGTTATTTTCACCATTTATATAATACAGTTATATGCATTTTATGACTTATTCCTTGTTAGATGTCATCTGAATTATGCCCATATAATCCTGTCATGGAAAACATTTCCAGTATTATGCCTAGTAATGAGATGGATCTACAACTGGATTTTATATTTACTTCTGTTTATATTGGTAAAATAAAAGGAGCTTCTAAAGGTTGTGTTACAGTAAGTATATTTTCTTTAGTTTTCTTCTAGTTTTGGATCTTGGATAAGGCATTTTCATTTTTTTCTTAGCACAAATGAGAATAGAATTAAGATTTATTTTATATGGGACACTTGGGATATGTTGAAAGTCATTATACTCAATTTGAAATGTGTCTTTAATTCTCCCTTCCTAAAATCCTACCTAATCTGACTACTCTGATGAAAAGCATGTGTGGGAAAAAAAATCACCTGTAGAATTGATAATCTTTGGGTTCTAAAAGTTAGTTGATGATAAAGTAAAAATTTTTTCAAGGTATCGTTTGAAGCATGAAGAAGAAATCTCGTTTTGCTAGTTTAAATGGTTGTAAACTGACTTCTCCAAATTTCTAAATTAAGAATGTTCAGGAACCTAATCCCACTCTATTTTTCTAATTAAAAAAAAATTCTTCCTCTTCTACTGTATATGAAAGTGAGACTGGATTCTACTCAGTTCTGTCTTTCTCGCTCTCTTTCTTTTTGCGGGGTGGGGGGTGGTGGACAGAATCTCACTCTTTTGCCCAGGCTGGAGTGCAGTGGGGCGATCTTAGCTCGCTGCAACCTCTGCCTCCTGGGTTCAAGTGATTCTTGTGCCTCAGCCTCCCGAGTAGCCAGGACAACAAGTGCATGCCACCACACCTGGCTAATTTTTGTATTTTTGGTAGAGATTGGGTTTCACCATGTTCGCCAAGCTCGTCTCAAACTTTTGGCCTCAAGTGATTCACCTGCCACAGCCTCCCAAAATGCTGGGATTACAGGCATGAGCCACTGCGCCCAGCCAGTTCTCTATATTTTCTTACCATTTATACTTTTAAAAATCCTAATATCCTTTAAAGCTTCTTTGATATACTGACTCTTCCAGGAAACTTTCCCTGATCCCTCCTTGTCAGACAGAATTAACTTTTTTCTTTGCTGTATACTTACAACACTTCATTTGTACTTCTGAGATTTACTCTGTGTTTTATAATTACTTATGTTCTTGTCTAAACCTCTCCATTAGCCTTTAAGCATCTTACGGTAAAGAGCAACAGTTTTAGTTCCTTTTATACCTTCCATAAATGTTTCAACTCTAAGTAGGCACTTAAGTGTTTGTTGAAGTGACTGTGTCAGATTTAGTAACTTAGGCATTTTTATATCAGTTTCATTAATATTTCAATGTATTAGGGATAAGACAGAGCTTATTAAAATGCTAAGATATGGTTTCTGCTTTCAAGGAACTTTTAATCTAATGGAAGAGACACGTGAATATTTACATTATGGTAAAATGTAAAACAGAAGTATGTACAAGGAGGGCGCATATGGCAATAGGTATCTATCAGTGTCTGGAGGAATCAGGAAAGGCTTCACAGAGAAGAGAGCACATGAATAAGACATAAAGTACCTGTTGTTTACTTGGTAGCCATGCAGACATAAACCTAATCCCAAATTCCGGGAACTGCAAATAATGGTAGTTTGTGATGTAGTCAACATTGCTTTGAAAGCTCAAGAATGATTTAATTTAAAATTATTATTTTTTGGCCACTGGTTTTCACTGATTTTGGCATGTCTGGTGTGATTTTACAATTCTTTTTCTTTAAGGAATTTTTTTCATTTTTCAGGATTTTCTCTCCTATTTTACTTTATTGTTTTAAATTCAGGTTTACCCAGTTGTTTCTGTTGAGTTCTTTGTAATGGCAAAAAGTCAGTTAACCTGATTATATGCCAGTAATGATTAGCCAGGGGGGAAAAATACAATATAAATATTCAACAATGGAATTTCTGTTAAGATAACACTTATATTATTACACAGTCAGATGGGCATGTTATGCTCAAAACCGACATTAAGCAAAAAACCACAAACAAATTAGTAAAGGAACAATGTTACAGACACATATATCTTGCTTAGAGACAGCTGCCACTCACTATATAGTATATATAGTTGCATATTCATCATATATATATATATATATGTTAAAACAAAGGGATATTATATAATATGTACTATTTTATACCTTACCATAGTTTCATTCATTTAATTCCTTTACTTATTTTGGGATATTTGATTGTCTTTAAAAATTTTTAATTGTTGGTCATTTCAGTTGTCTCAATATTTTACTATTACAAATAGTAGGGGACTGCAAGTATTCAATAAGTGTTGTAAAGTGGTCCTAAAAATTAATTGTCAGAAGTCCTGGGCAGGGCAATCAGACAAGAGAAAGAAATAAAGTACGTTCATATTGAAAGAGAGGAAGTCAAACTATTCCTGTTTGCAGATGACATGATTCGATGTCTGGATTCTCTCTCTATATTTACATATATTATATATAAATTTTCTAGATATAGGATCTCAGTCCAAAAGCTCCTTCAGCTGATAAACAACTTCAGCAAAGTTTCAGGATACAAAATCAAAGTATAAAAATTACTAGAACTCCTATATACCAACAGTAGCAAAGTCAAGAGCCAAATCAGAAATGCAGTTCCATTCACAACTGCCACAAAATGAATAAAATACCTATGAATATAGCTAAGCAGGGAGGCGAAAGATCTCTACCATGAGAACTGCAAAGCACTGTTTAAAGAAATCAGACGACACAAACAAATGCAAAAACATTGCATGTTCATGGATAGGAAGAATCAACAGAATTAAGATGGCCATCCTGCCCAAAGTAGTTTGTAGATTCAATGCCATTCCTATCAAATTACTGATGATATTCTTCACAGAAATAGAAAAAAATTCATATGGAATCAGGAAAAAAAAAAAAAAAAAAGAGGCCGATTGCCAAGGCAATCCTAAGCAAAAGGAACAAAGCTGGAGGTATCATGTTACCTGACTTCAGACTGTACTGTAGGGCTATAGTAACCAAAACAGTATGATACTGGTACAAAAACAGACACACAGGTCAATGGAACAGAATAGAGAGTCTGGAAATAAGGCTGCACACCTATGACTATCTGATCTTTGACAAAGCTGACGAAAACAAGCAATGGGGAAAGGACTCACTATTCAATAAATGGTTCTAGGATAACTGGCTAGCCATATTCAGAATACTGAAGCTGGACCCCTTCCTTATACCATACACAAAAATCAACTCAAGATGGATTAGAGACTTAAGCGCAAAACCCAAAACTATAAAATCCCTGTAAGACAACCTAAGCAGTACCATTCTGAATATAGGCACGGGCAAAGATTTCATGACGAGGATGTCAAAATCACAACCAAAACAAAAATTGACAAATGGGATCTAGATAAACTAAGGAACTTCTGCATAGCAAAATAAACTATCAACAGAGTAAACAACCTACAGAATGGGAGAAAATATTTGCAAACTAGGCATCTGATGAAGTTCTAATATCTAGCATCTATAAGGAACTTAAATTCACAGGAAAAAATAAACCATTAGAAAGTGGATAAGGCACATGAGCAGACACTTTTCCAAAGAAGACATACATGTGGCCAACAAGCATATGAAAAAAGCTCAGTATTACTGATCATTAGAGAAATCCAAATCAAAACCACAATGAGATACCATCTCACACCAGTCAGAATGGCCACTATTAAAATGTCAATAACAGATGCTGGCAAAGTTGTAGAGAAAAGGAAGGACTTATATACTGTTGGTGGGAGTGTAAATTAGTTCAGTCATTGTGGAAAGTAATGTGGTGATTCCTCAAAGAACTAAAAACAGAATTACCATTCAACCCAGCGATCCCATTACTGGTATGACACCTAGACAAATACAAGTCATTCTACCACAAAGACATATGCATGTGAATTGCAGTACTATTCATAATAGCAAACACATAGAATCAACCTAAATGCCCATCAATGACAAATTGGATAAAGAAAATGTATTGCATATATGCCATGTACTACGCAGGTATAAAAGAACGAGATCTTGTCTTTTGGGGAAATGTGATGGAGCTGGAGGCCATTATCCTCATCAAACTAACCTAGGAACAGATAACCAAGTACCACATATTCTCAATTATGAGAATAACTGAGAATAAATAAAAGAATTTAAAAAAGGTATTCTTTTTGAGAATTCTTTTCTTTTTTGGTGGGTAAAGATATTAGAGAATTAAATTCATTTATTCTTCATATATTCAGTGACTACTACCTACTATATGTTAAACATTATTGTAGACATTAGAGATACTGTTCTCACTTATGATAGTTACAATTTAGCTGAATTGAAAAATAGTTATGGCTGGAAGTTATTACATAAACTAGAGCCATATTCCTATAGTTGGACCTTAAATTATTTTTTTTAGTGTAGCAAATGCTGCAGTAAATGTAAACATTTCCTTCTTAAAAATCTTTGTCGATAGTGCCAGAAATTAAGTAATACTATATTCAGAGAACTGTACTAGCTATTGTAAGAAATTATAAAATATCTCTTATTATCAGCTTTATTCTTAATTTTAAACAAAGTTGGTATGATTTCAGAGAACCAGGTTTACCTTATTGCCATGAATTTTTAATTATTTTTTTATCCAGGGGTTAAGTCTGCTGGGAGGGAGCAGGGTTATAACTCTGGAGAGGTAACATGCTGGCCTCGTCATTACTCAGTGGTATAAATGAATATCAGCTCCTTGCCAAGTAGAAAAGTTTGGTGGCTCCTGAGCACTTCATGGGGGAGGGTGAGATAATAATGTAGTGAGGAGAGGTGGGGGGCATACAGATGTACTACTTCTATTTTGTAATTTGGAAGTCATGGCGGTACAGACTCTAAAAAGCAAACACCCCTTCTGTTTATTTTTTAGAAGCAATGATTTACATTTGCCAAAATATATTTTATTGGTTTAAAGACCCTGTGAAACATGCCAGAAAGGGTTTGGAAAGGGACAAATAGACATTAAATATGGTGGCAATTATGTGAACGTAATGATAATATTTAATTTAATTTAATTTAATGATAATATTTAATTAAACTACATAACATTCTTGATCAGATGCTAGTGTCTAATGATAACAGCTCTCCTTGATTCAGGGTCTTACTAAAGCTGAAAGAAGTTCAGTAAGTTATCTAAGTTTACATGCTTATAACTTGTGTAAAGTGGTAGAGACAATAGAGGCAGGGTTTTAACTCCAAGCTCAGCTTTTAGCTAATTATGTTCTGTTACCTCACATTTTGCTTTAGTGGCTGACTTACCTACCCTATGGAATATAGGGCTTTATATTTGTGAAAGTACAATATAAAATAATTTTTAAATTGAAAAATAAATGGAGTCAAAGTAAACCTGTGGATTCACCAAACATTGTATGATACTTTTACGGAGCTCACGTACCAAGAACATTTTGATTTTGTTATGTGCTCACAGACTATATCCTACTCGATCAATAAAATGTATTAACAACAAAACTTAACCAAAGAATAAATAAATAGGTACAAATTCATTTGACATTAATGGAAAAGCAAATTTCAAAGCAAAAGTCTGTTTTAGACAGTACATGTAAGATTTACAGGTGCTCCACAACCCTATTATAAAAGTCAGATATATACAAAAGATACCTAGAGAAAATTAGTGTCCTGGGACAGAAGGAGCAGAAAGAGCAAGAACCTCAGTCAGAAGGGAATTCATAACATGAAACAAAGGAAGAGGAATGCTGGGAATGAAGATGTTGGTGGTACCCATCTAAAAGTCATCCAGGGAAGGGAATGTTCTGGCTTAGGGACTTACTTTATGTTATTTGGACAGGTGTATCACTGTTGTGAATCAAGTTGGATCTATGACTTTTGTAGCCATTTCATATTACACAAGTGATTTTTCTAGTTCTGCTTTTATGTGGTAAAAGCAAATTTTAAATTATAATTGGTAGTTTTTGTACAGAAACAGAATGTTCAAACCAGGTGGGAAACAAGCCTTCTGACAATTTTAATTTCTCATTATAAATAATATAATATGTTGATGGGTGTAGAGGCTCACACCTGTAATCCCAGCACTTTGGGAGGCTGAGGCAGGTGGGTCACGAGGTCAAGAGTTCAAGACCAGCCTGGCCAATAATGGTGAAACCCCATCTCTACTAAAAATACAGAAATTAGCCAGACGTGGTGGCACGTGCCTGTAGTCCCAGCTACTTGGAGGCTGAGGCAGAAGAATCACTTGTACCTTGGAGGCAGAGGTTGTGCCACTGCACTCCAGCCTGGTGACAGAGCGAGACTCCTCCAAAAAAATTAAAAAAAATATATAATATGTTGGCATTTGGTTTGCTCAGTAGTTTCTTGTGAGTTTGGTTATTAGTGTGAGTTCATCACTAAGGGGATCATCGTCAGCTGTTGAGTCAGCAAAGCCAAAAATCAAATCCTGTTATCTGGGATATTTATATTTACCAGAGTTGCTGTTACTTAGAGGTCTCTTGGCAGTTTCTTCTGGGCTTTGTCTTAGCCTTTCAATTTTCAGAAAACATTTTTGAAAAATATATTTAATAGTCTTGCTGGTTTTTGTAAATGAGCATATTGGGAATTAAGTTACTTAACATGGGGTTCTTAAAATTTCTGTAAAACTAAGTCTTCGTAGTGAAATATTTTATTGGTTTATTGACAAAAAGGCTTGAGCACTTATAGTGTAGACTTTGAATATCAACTTGTGAATTGAAAAATTAATTTGAATGGTAACACATTTTGAGTGTTAACTCATTGTTTGCCTTTTAATTTTTTCTTCAGATCACAACAAAATATATTAAGATCCCATTTCAAGGTAAGTTATCATTCTCTTATGACCTTACCTTTTTACTGTAGTTTTGAGTATAAATTTAAATAAAATTAAGTTTAATAATTAATAACCTTAATATTTTTTAGCAATTCCAAATGGAGTAAAAATGTTTTATAATAGACTTGTTCTGTGAATAGTATGCTGTTGTTTTAATGACTATAAATCAAACAATATTAAAGGATTCATGGCAATTTCTTGGGATTAACAGATATACAGTTTTGATAGCAAGAATATTTTGGTATATATAAAAATGAATAACAATCGTAACTATAAGGAAAGAAGCATAAGGAAAATGTTTAATATTGCACACAAACGTGTAAAATGTTTTTGCATAGAGCGTAAGAGAATTTTATACAATTGCGTGTCTGAGTAAGGGAGAGTAGACTGGAAAACGTACCTGCAGCTTATAGACACTAGCACCATTTTCTCATTCTCTTCCCAACTGAAAACATTTCCAAATAAATTATGACACTAAAAAAACCTATAAATAGTAGAGATTAATCTTTTTATGTAATGAATTATAAAAAGAACAAGGAAGAAAAACACACAAATGGCACAGATAGATATTAGAGAAGAAGCAGCTTCTGTTCCAAGATTGGAGATGCTATCAAAGTAGCTTTTTAGTTGGATTAGTTGGATTTAGTTGGATTCCACAGATATTTTATGCACAGAATCCGAAACTATGTTATGATAATTGTTCTAATAATTTGAATACTTATTATATCTTAATTAAGTAGTACGAATATAAAAGGCACAGAATAAGTATACTGATAATCCTAAATAGGAAATATTAATAAATTATTAAGGCATAATATAATATTTCTTCTTTAGAAGAAACAAACAAAATCATGTGATTTTGAAAGGGGATGACAATTTCAGAAAAGATAGCACTATAATTTATGGTTCAAGACCTGGGTAACAAAGAGAGCTACCTCTCAAATTCTTGTGATACAAACATCAAAAATGATATTTTAGATTTTCATGGTTAATATTTATAATATTGCTTTCTTATTTTATAATTTTTCTTTCACATATAATTTTTAAAAGACAAATTTCATTAGAAATTGTGGAAAAATACTCTCTTCAGTGGTAATAGGTTTTTAATTTTATAATGGAAGAAGAAAATATTAGTCTTCTTCCTCAAATTCTGTCCAAGTTCCCATATGCAAAATCTTTTTAAAACAAGGCATGCCTATAAAGGCTTTTGTAGGTGGGAACCTGAGGGTCTAACTGTTTCCTTTTTCTCTATGCATCTGGGGAAAAATTGATTTATCCATATTTATATTAGGTATTATGTCTGGTTGTTAGTAACAGTGGCATAAAGAAAATATTTTATTTTTCCTTCACATAGAAGAAATCTAGAGGTAATCTCGAATTGATATGATGTTTTCTTGGTCATCAGGGACACATGACCCTGACACATGAGTTGCATTTTTCTATTCTGTCATTCCTGACACATGACTTGCATCCTTAAGCTTGTCTCATGGCCATTATTGTAGCTCATACTCCATCATCATGTTGGTACAGTAGACAGAAAGCAGTAGGAAGGGGAAAACCATAAACAGAGCACATGCTACCAATCTCTTACCGTTTTGAGGAGCCTTCTGGATATACATGCTACCTAACCTTTTCTGCTTATATTTTATTAGCTAACTAGTCATGGCCAGACACCCCTTTCTAAAGGAAGCTAAGAAATAGTGTTTTCAAAACTATATATCTTGCTTCCCTCAGTAAAATTAGGGTTCTGTTGCTAAGGAAGAAGAAGAAATGGAAAAGTGGGGAGGCATTTCCCACTTTTAGTATCTGCTATACACCTGTAACAGAATAAACCATATATTGGGGGCAAACTTGGTAACGAGGTATAAATTTTTCTCATGATGGTGTTAAGTTCCTTTTTTAAAAAGATAATATTTTAAAGCTGTCTACCTAAAGAAAATTTAGCTTTCATTCCAAACACCTAGAACAATTAGATTAGTAACATTTGTGTAGATTTTACTGAAATATATCAAATGTACTTGCAGGACTGTGAGATTCATGAGAAAGAAATGCTGAGTAGTATTCTGAGGGCTCTCGTTCTGGTTTTAATTTAAGCAGTTAGTCTGTGCTGCCAGTTTTACTGACAGTTTTCAGAATGGAAGAGTTATAGTTTGAATAGAATGACTGGCTTGGGAACATTAAGATGACTGGTAAATTACCTGAGTACTCATCATGGAAAGATTTTCATATTTTAATGTTCATATGAATCATGGGGTGGAGTGGGCTGTTAAACTGAGATTACTGATTGAGTAGATGTAAGGTGGGGCCTGATACTCTGTATTTCTAACAGTCTTCCAGATGATGCTGATGCTAAAGTCACAGGCTCAGCTTAGACTACACTTTGAGTAGCAAAGTTCCAGGAAATAATGCTGGGAGGAATACTAAGAGGTTTGTTTCAAATAGGTGCCCATCTTGGGTTTATGCTTGACTGATATTTGTATTCCTGGTTCAGTTGCTTGCTGTTTTGAAGTGGAACTAGGTGGCCTTCAGGACTTCTTTAAATCAGTGTTTTTATGTTTCTTTGAATTGAAGAGTAAAAGTCCTCAGAGGAGATTCCTTTAGCTCCCTAAAAGGGAGAAAGACTAATAATGTAGAATGATTATCTAGAGGTTTTAAGAAATAAAACCTGGAAGATTTTTAAAAGATATATATCCTTAGACCATTCAGAATCTCATAATATTCTTGAGACTCTTTTGGTAGTGGCTTGTGTGTATAGTGGAATGCAAATACTTTAGGAGAAGAAAGATGGGCAGAAATTGACCTATGATAGCACTTGGAGTCTTGGTTTATAGTATTGACCAAGCTAGAAAAGAGGGAAATGTATAATTTTCTGAGTTATACTATGCTTAGTTTTCTGCACTGATAGACTTTCTCCCCCCCTTTTGCTAATGATGTCGGAATTCCTGGAGAGAATTCTCTCTGGACAGAGTTTTTATGTTATGAATATTTAATCTCAAATTTTCCCTCTCTGGATATAACTGAAATCATATAGTGAGAGAGATTAAATCTCTATTTAATTGTCATTTAATAATTATTTAGCCTTTCCTGATTGTAATGTGATTTGTTTTTAAAATGCTTAGGGCATTTTAGCTAAGGTTAGCAAAATGCATTGGAAATATGTTTTTGAAAAAACTTCTATATAATTCCTTTTTCAAAAGTAGTGTATGAAGAAGTATCATATAATGTTTAAGTGGTGTATTCTTAAATGGATGCATTTTTTAAACTGTTACCTTTTATTTGTTTCAGTGTCCCTGAATGAGATTTCATTGCTAGTGGATACCACACATTTAAAGCGGTTTGGGTTATGGAAAAGTAAGGATGATGGTCATAGTAAAAGGAGCCATGCTATTCTTTTCTTCTGGGTCTCTTCGGATTATCTTCAAGAGATTCAGACCCAATTAGAACACTCTGCATTAAGCCAGCAATGTGAGTGTAATGATTTCTAAATTTCAGGATAACTTGAAACATCCTATAAATAGTTTTTCTCCAAAATAACTTAATAGAATGTTATTTCAGTGACTTGAAATTAATTTAATTTAGTTAAAATAATTTTACTCCTTAATTTTAGGGTAGATTATTTAATTCACATAATTTCTCCTTCTAGTTGTATTCAACCAATAGAAATTCTCATCTAAAATAAAAAAGAATAACTTAAAAACTTAAATGTTGTTCACCTTGAAAATAATAAGCTCTTTAAAAAAAAAAAAAAGAATGCCTTAACTTTTAGTCATTTGTCATCTTTGACTACCTTCCCTCCTTTCTTTCTTTTCATTTGAGACAGTCTTAATCTCTTGCCTGGGCTACAGTGCAGTGGCATGTTCATAGCTCGCTACAACCTCAAACCCCTGGGCTCATGTGATGTTCCCACCTCAGCCTCCAAGTAGCTGGAACTACGGGGGCACAGCGCCATGCCTGGCAATTTCTGTTCTCTTTTTCTTTTTCTTTTTTTTTTTAAACTTTATTATTATCCTTTAAGTTCTAGGGTACATGTGCAGAATGTGCAGGTTTGTTACATAGTTATACACGTGCCATGGTGGTTTGCTGCATCCATCACCCCATCATCTACATTAGGTATTTCTCCTAATGCTATCCCTTCCCTATACCCCCCAGCCCCCAACAGGCCCCGGTGTGTAATGTTCCCTTTCCTGTGTCCATGTGTTCTCATTGTTCAACTCCCACTTGTGAGTGAGAACACACAGTGTTTGGTTTTCTGTTCTTGTGTTAGTTTGCTGAGAATGATGGTTTCCAGCTTCATCAATGTCCCTGCAAGGGTCATGAACTCATCCTTTTTTATGGCTGCATAAAAAAGCTTGGTGTCTATTACATGGTGTATATGTGCCACATTTTCTTTAGCCAGTCTATCATAGATGGGCATTTGGGTTGGTTCCAAGTCTTTGCTATTATGAACAGTGTCACAAAAAACGTATGTGTGCATGTGTCTTTATAGTAGAATGATTTATATTACTTTGGGTATATACCCAGTAATGGTATTGCTGGGTCAAATGATATTTCTGGTTCTACATACTTGAGGAATTGCCACACTGTCTTCCACAATGGTTGAACTAACTTACACTCCCACCAACAGTGTAAAAGCATTCTTATTTCTCCACATCCTCTCCAGCATCTGTTGTTTCCTTACTTTGTAATGATCGCCGTTCTATGAGATAGTATCTCATAAAATGTGCTTTAGATTTGCATTTTTCTAATGACCACTGATGATGAGGGTTTTTTCATGTTTGTTGGCTCAATAAATGTCTTCCTTTGAGAAGTGTCTGTTCATATCTTTTGCCCACTTTTTGATGGTGTTGTTTTTTCTTGTAAATTTGTTTAAATTCTTTGTAGATTCTGGATATTAGCCCTTCGTCAGATGGATAGATTGCAAACATTTTCTCCCATTCTGTAAGTTGCCTGTTCACTCTGATGATAGTTTCTTTTGCTGTGCAGAAGCTCTTTAGTTTAATTAGGTCCCATTTGTCAATTTTGACTTTTGTTGCCATTGCTTTTGGTGTTTTAGTCATGAAGTCTTTGCCCTTGCCTATGTACTGATTGGTATTGCCTAGGCTTTCTTCTAGGGTTTTTATGATTTTAGGTCTTAAATTTAAGTCTTTAATCTATCTTGAGTTAATTTTTGTATAATGTGTAAGGAAGGAAGCCAGTTTCAGCTTTCTGTATATGTCCAGCCAATTTTCCCAACACCATTTATTGAATAGGGCATCCTTTCCCCATTGCTTATTTTTGTCAGGTTTGTCAAAGATCAGATGGTTGTAGATTTGCGGTGTTATTTCTGAGGCCTCTGTTCTGTTCCATCGGTCTATATCTCTGTTTTGGTACCAGGACCATGCTGTTTTGGTTACTGTAGCCTTGTAGTATAGTTTGAAGTCAGGTTGTATGATACCTCCCACTTTGTTCTTTTTGCTTAGGATTGTCTTGGCCTTGCAGGCTCTTTTTTGGTTCCATATGAAATTTAAAGTAGTTTTTTCCAATTTTGTGAAGAAAGTAGATGGTAGCTTGATGGGGATAGCATTGAATCTGTAAATTACTTTGGGCAGTATGGTCCTGTCCCTTCCTGTCCCTTCCTGTTCTGACCCTTCCCGTCCCTTCCCATTCCGGCCCTTCCTGTCCCATCCATTCCCATCCCTTCCCTTCCTGTCCCATCCTGTCCCATCCCGTCCTGTCCCTTCTTTGTAGAGATGGGCTCTCAATATGTTCCTCAGGCTGGTCTCAAACTCCTGGCTTTGAGCTATCCTCCTGCCTCGGCCTTCCAAAGTTTTAGTATTATAGATGTGAGCCACTGTGCCTGGCCAACTACCTTTGTTATGAGTTTCTTGCCTTTGATAGTTTCTTGCTATAATTAACTGTGGCAGAATTAGCAGCAAAGTTAAATAAAATATAGAAGTCTTTGCCTTCAGCCTTTTAGTTTCTAATAAGTGAAATTCAGTTTACTCATATATCGTTCCTTTAAGATTGGGTTGAATACTTTTCCATATTCACCTGTAACACTTATCTACATAATATACATCTGGAGATGTTTTTCAACTTTGTTTAGTCTCCAACTCCTAAAGGAGTCAGGTTTAGAACTGTATCAATCAAATTAGTAAGGTTCTTTTTTACCGGTTTGATCTATCCTTTTCCTACTCTCCTGCACAGTAAAGATGTTAAGCAGTGAACTAAATTTTATAACTTTAAAATTTGTTACTTTCCTGTCCTAATTACTTCTAGCAGGAAAATTCATGATTAAATAGCAGAGAAGGTGGGAAAAGTAGAAATAGCCATTTATCAGCCTTATGTGGGGAGAGAATGTCTTTTGAGATCACCATTGAAATGACTGAGGAGAAAATGCAGAAGGTGTTTAATTGGAATACTTTCCTAGTTGATAGAGTTGATTCATAAAGGAGGCTAGAGAAAAATAATTATCACTTAATTATTCATTCACTTATACATTCATTAACAAATGTTTTCTATGACTTACTAAATGCCAGGCACTGGAGGTACAGCATCAGTACTATTGTGACATTTTAGTGCAGTAGAGCAGGAGTCCACCAATTGTGAGTTTTGGCTCTGGGTTACTAATGGCCTATTTTTGGGATATTAATTTGCCTTGATTAATACCTAAAATAGAAAATTCTTTGGGTTATATTCCAACCTTACTACTATTAATAATTAAATTATTTTATTATAATCCTCTTGAAGAATAATATTATTGATAGAAATTATTTTTTCCTTTTGCAGCAAAGTCTAGTGAATTCATTTTCCTTGAACTACACAATCCTGTTTCACAAAGAGAAGAATTGAAGTTGAAAGATATTATGATGGAAATAAGTACCATCAGTGGAGAATTAGAGCTCTCTTATCCACTGTCTTGGGTTCAGGCATTTCCTTTGTTTCAGAACCTCTCTTCAAAAGAAAGTTCTTTTATTCATTATTACTGTGCTTCAACTTGTTCTTTCCCTGCTGGTTCTGCTGTTGCTGAAGAAATGAAGCTGAATCCAGTATCTCAGGTCAGCACATCATTAATAGAATTAGCAGAGAAGGGGGTGATTCAGAAAACATTTATTCATTGGTATTAGGCTACTTTCCAATGCTACGTTTTGTGAAAAGGGCACAGGAACCAACCCAAAAGAATTCCCAGTGCCAAAGCTGAAACAATTTGTTAAACAAAATCAGTAATGACAGCATGGGATTATAACCAAATAAAAAATTCAAATAAAAAGCTATGAGTCTATGTTGATATAAATAGATAACTGAGTTAGGAAATGGATGAATAAATAATATGTGATGGTTAAGGGACAATTATTTTTCAGAAAAAAATCCAATTAATAAATGAAAAGGAATAAGGGAAACATAAAACCATCAGTACAAAACTATATTTATGATGATTGCAGTCAAACTCCACTGACAGATGCTAAATTGAGTGAAAATTTAAGTAGAAACAAAATGTATACATAATGTCAGACTGTAGCCTAAAATATGTACTAATTACAAAAAGTAGTAACTTCTGCAGTGGAGAAACCTTGTAGATATCACTTTAACCAAGTTATCAAAATGGACATCACCAGTAATAAGACCTACTGACATAACACATCCCTTCATATCATGCACTGAGAAGGTACCACATGACTTCTGTGGTCTTTTTTCCAATAATATGTAATCTCAATATAATTATGAGAAAAATGAGACAAATCCAGTTACAAAATAATTGACCAGTACTCTTTAGAAGTATCAAGGGCATGAAAAAGAAGGAAAGACTAAGGAATTGTAGGATCCTGTAACAGAAAAAGGATATTAATGGAAAAACTAGTGAAGTCAGAATAAAGTCTGTAGCTTAGTTAATGGTATTATACCAATGTTAATTTTTTAGTTTTGGCCATTGTATTATGGTTGTAAATGATAAGATTAGGGGAATTTGGGCAAGTCTGATTTTTTTGCAACTCTTCTGTAAGTCTAAAATTATCTTGAAAACAGTAAGTTTAAAACGCTATGTTTATTTTTATAGGAGGTTGGTAATATACATGTAGCTTATATATCTCTGCCAGTAGTTCTAGAAAGAAAATTTATTAAGCTATGGCATACTCATATACACACATGTGCACATGAATTTGACCTGGGGCTAATCTTTTATTCAAAAGGCCTATAGAAAGCCACATTGGTGTTAAAGTATGAGACTTCATCTCTTTCTTTATGCATAATATTGTAAAAATTTTGCATTCTAATTATATTGTATATATAAATTTATAGATTTTCCATTTAATAATGGAATTACATTATTATAAATGTAGCCTCTTAATTTGTAATTTTATGTCTTCCTATTACCTTTTTTGATTGTTTTGAACTGCAAAATTGTTATATTCGTCTTTAATTCTGTAGTTCATATCTATGTATAGTACTTCAAGTTAATTTTTGACCATTGTTCATATAATATCTTTTGATCACAAGTATTATTTTGGTTTGGTTATATCTATAGAAAATCTAAAAATATAGCTATAACTCATAGGGATATTTAAAGTCACATTTTTTCTAACAAGTCTAGGTTTTGACTTTGTTCTTTTGAAAGTTAGGATATTTTAAACCCTTTTCCTTGCCACTTTCTATCAGCCCTCAAATACAGATGCAGCCAAGCCTACTTACACCTTCCTTCAGAAGCAAAGCAGTGGTTGCTACTCCCTTTCTATTACATCCAATCCAGATGAAGAATGGCGAGAAGTCAGGCACACTGGACCTGTCCAGAAGTATGTACTGTCATAGCTTGTTTGTAGTAGATAGGCGTATTAGTAATTTTTATTCATGTTGCTGCTTTTTAGTAGTTTACCTTTTGAAATGTTTTAAGTTTTACTTTCATGCTGGTAGTTAATAATGGACATAGGTTTTTTTAAAGGAAATTATGAGGAAGTTAAAAAATTTATCAAGAGAAAAATAGGTGCCATTTTTCTTACCTTTATGTCAGTAAGACATAAATGGCAGCCAAAGTGTCATATTTGGTAAGATTAAAGTGTTCATTGAAAATATTTGAATAGCAATGTATGATTTTAAAAATCCTACATTCCTTATCTGAACATATGATAGGGAAAATGAAATTGCTTACTAAAGTATGCTTCGATTTAAGGTACTTGGGAGTTTGTTACAAGTTCCCTTTCAGAAATTGCTTGTTTGTTCATATTTCATCTATGTCTTCTCATGATGCTAAGGCAGAATATAGAGTCTGTGTATTTAATGGGTGATTGCTGTACCTCCATGTGATTCTATTTCTTTGTTTTGAAAAAAAGACACTTGAAAGAATAGGACAGGAAAATAGCCAATAAGATAGAAACTATCATATTAGCACTTTAAATTTACAGTTTTCTTTTTTGATTTAGGTGCCATGATACTAAAATTAAATCAGTGTCGATGACTCTTATCCTCCTGAACCTTTCTGATGCAAGAAGTACATATATATACCTTCATTACTGACTACATTTGTTCATTGAGTACTGCTTTACCTATTCCAAGATTATAGCCAGGAATTCACAACTAGTCTTATTTCTAAGCTTTAAGAGAGAATGCCAGCAGAAAGACGACTAATTAGCTGACCTCTCTTCTCTACTACTTTCTGGTTGTGGTAAAATTCTTTGTTTCCTTTATGGTCTCTTGAGTTTTACATGGCAGGCACTTTACTATAGGGAGACTTGCCTCCTGAGCTCCCATGTTATTTCTTTTTTGCTCAGCTGCTGGTACACATTAGCCACCAAGAGCAGAGTACAGTTTTGACTGCTGGCTTTTCTGGAAGGAAGGGAACTCTAGTCTTGAGGATTCAAACGTAGAAAGTGGAGAAAGGAAAAGCTACATTTTATTACATCAGTTTATTTAAAGTTAAAAATTATGGAGAAGAGAAACCTCTTCTATGGTATTGTAACTGATTGTGAGATAAAACCTATTGATTAGACAAATACTGAGACTAATTCAGATAGCAGTCTGTTGAGACTAGCCCACATGGGAAGCATTGGAAAAGAAAAGATAATACTTAATGGGAGTATATAATTAGTAGCTCGTGAGAATAAAGGGAGGAAAATATAATTGTTTATGCCCTGTCAAATGTTTTTTACCCCACAGATTTAAGTTATAGAATACTACTGCCCAGTTATTGTTTCATATAAGAAATCTCTTAGATAATAGGATTTTCAATATCAATATATTTTAACTTTATTTTTACTTTTAAGGTTGATTGTATATCCTCCACCACCTACTAAGGGGGGACTAGGAGTAACTAATGAAGATCTGGAGTGTTTAGAAGAAGGGGAGTTTCTTAATGATGTAATCATTGATTTTTACCTTAAGTAAGTACAATGATAAATGATCTTTCATGTTTTACAGGTTTTACTGAGAAATTTAAAATAAATGTCGTTATCTCTGAATTATTTTAATTCCCATTAAAAGTGACCTGCCAAGATTTCAGATTTGGAAAATTTTTGCTTACCAAGGTTTTCTAGAATTGACTAATTCAGTTTCATTCCTTTACTTACTGTGGACACTATATAGTTGAGAAAACCTACTGCTTTTTTAGTTTTTGTTTGTTGGTTTTTGATATAAATTTCTTTAACTATTATAGTGGTGAAAGATGTTACTTACAAATCATTTTGGGAACTGAAAAGCAGCAGCTCTGTTTAGATATCTATTGTGTCTTTAAGAACAGTAAGATTTAACTATCATTTAAAAAATCCCTATCACTTAATTTTTCCCTCAACTTTTTGTATAGCCAAAGTTGCAGGAATTGGTATGAAGACTTTTAAAACTTAATACAAGGGAAATTTGCTTCTAGCTGTCATTTGTAGTGTATCTCTTGACCTAGATTTCCAGCAATTGGTGGAGATATCTCCTAACTATTTCACAGATCCCTCCCAAATAAAATTTATTATAATCTTACCTAAGGCTTATTGTTTTACTAATTATGCTAGTAATCTTTATTCCAGTGACTCGGGTCAGAATCCCACATTATATTTATAGATATTATAGATTTAATTTCTAGAAATTCAATTTGGATCTCTTTTATATCTTCCATGTTTCCTTTTGAATATATGAAATACAGTTATAACTTTTAATATTCTTTTCTGCTAATTCTAACATCTCTGTTAGTTCTGGGTTCAATTGACTGATTTTTCTCTTCATTATGAGTCATATTTCTTTGCACTTTTGCATGTCTGGTAATATTTTTATTGGATGCTGGATATTTTTGTATTTATCAAAATACTTGAATTTTGTTTTGGGACACAGTAAAATTATTTTGAAAAAGTTTGATGCCTTTAAGATTTGTTATATGAGGCCAACAACTTAATCTTACTACTGTAGAAAGACCTTTTTGAGTACTCTACCCAATGTCTCAGGAATTACGAGGTTTCCAGTCTGGCTGATAGCAACATGCACCATTCTTGGACTCTGTGAACATGTGGCGTCATTCCCTCTAATCTTTTTGAGTAGTTCTTTCCCTGCCCCTGGATACTTTCCTCACATACATTCAGCGATTCATACCCTGCTAAATACTTGAGGAGGACTCTCTGCAGCTGTCTAGAGTTCTCTGTATAGCTCTTTCCTTTCCATTATTCTGATCTGCAAACTCTAGCTACTCCATTTTTAGAAAACAGTTGCACCTTTTCAAGCCTGCATAAACTATTAAGAATAGCAGAGTTTTCTAGTTATGAAAAGGTTAATTACTTAGTGATTGAATTATGAGCTTATATGGAAGGATTGTGTTAGTACAGGAAGGGATTAAGAATTTAGAAATGAATCATATCACAGTTATTAACATTTTTCTAGACTTATTTAGCAGTGTCATAATTTCACTTTTATATTTGAGTATATGATTATTTGATTAGTATTTTCTACTCCCACTCTTCTGGATTATAGGCTCTACAGGGGCAGATACTTTATTTTTTCCCTCTTGTTTTGTGTCTCTAGTATAAACATGGTATTTGGCACATGTTAGGAATTTTATAAATATTTGTTAATTAAATGAATAAGTGAGTAATTTCTGCTTTACATGATGGAAGTCTAGGTAACTAACCAAACTGAAAGCTGAAGTCAGAGGAAACTGCAAGATTGCTTTGAATCTAAACAGATGAAAAATAAAAATTTCTAGAACACATAAGACAATTGAGGGAAGGCCAAGTAAAATCTAAAAATAATTGACTATTTTTGGGTTACTACTTTACAGGTATCTTATATTGGAGAAGGCATCAGATGAACTTGTTGAACGAAGTCACATTTTTAGTAGCTTTTTCTATAAATGCTTGACAAGAAAGGAAAATAATTTAACAGAAGAGAATCCAAATCTTTCGTAAGTTAACCCTTGAATGTACTTAAGTTTTAAGAGAAAATATATTCTTTTTGAATGCTTCTAGTAAAATGGCTTCTTTATAGTATCTCCTAGAGTGGGCAGTACTACCATTTGTGTAGGTCCTGGGTCTGTTTGCCTGAGAGCCATTTCCCATCTTTCCACTGTTTTGCTGCCTATGACAGGAAGGCTGACACTTGCAGTCTTCATTTAAATTGCATGTCCCTGGGGGAAATCCTGGACGTTGGAGAGCAACGAAGAAAGAAGCTAGTTTATTTCTTCCCTACTCTCTTTGCGTTGGGCAGTGGCCGTATTTCCTCTGTGAGTCCACCTCTCACAGGACAGACCTGCTGTAACTCCAGCTTCCATCTGGAGCTACTACTTCTCTTTGCTCTTCTCTACCCTGCAGGTACAGCAGTTTCCTCCTATGCTAATCTTTGGCTGTCTCACTGTCCCCTTTTTTGGCTTTGTGGGTTTTTTTTTGTAATGCTGTAGCCAGTTTCCTGCATTACATTCTGTTACATAGGGTTGTTTTGGTTTTCCTGATTGGACCCCCAGTGACAGACTATTTAATTAAGCCAATGCAACATTATAGGAAATACCATATTTGCACGATTTAGCTGATTGTTGCCCAAGTATGTTTTTGGTTAATACTAAAACTGTGGAGCAGTGTGTAGGGATAGGCACAAAGAAGGTATTTCTTAGACAGTAGAAACTTGGACAGTTGTTGCAGCATGAGGCATTTCACCCATTTCCCATGCTTAACAATTTGTGTGATCTATTTGAGTAGACTCATAATAAAATTTAGTTATTAGTTAAAAAGTTAGTGTAAACATTTGTGTACTGCTTTACAGTTTACAACATACATTTATTGACATTATTTCAGTTTTTTCTATCATGACAGTGCCTTTCAATAGGGCATCTAAACTATATCCCAATTTTTCAGATAAGGAAGCAGTCTAATAAAGATTAATAAATTTTACTTAAGATGAACAGCTAGTGAATGGCAGAACTGGTTGGTACTTAAATCTTTACCTTCTAACTTCTAGTCCAAAGTTTTATTGTATTAGACTGCTTTAAAAAAATGGCTATGAGAGTTTGTTTTATCTCATTAAAATAATAGGAATAATAAACAAGTTAGAAGAGGATTAATGGATAAACTGCTTGAATTGGATATATTGTTGGAGAAAGAAGGTAGGAATAGGAGACTAATTAATATTTATTGAGTGCCTGCCAGAAACTAAGACAGTGAACATAAAGCTATTTGATTCTATAGTATTCTTGTCATTGTCTTTATTAATTGAAGCTTAGAGAAGTTATGTAAGTTTTCCAAAGTTGGGTGTAGCTTTCCAATTTCAAGGTTCAACTCCTTCTGTTGTTCATAGTGTTGTGACTATATAATTTATGGTCCAAATTGGGATGCTTGTGAGAATAACAGGAGGCTCTGTTAGTGGATACACTAGGCAATGAGTGTGTATATATTAGGGCTTCCTAGACAAACTGGGATGTACAGTCAGCTCTATTTTAAGTGGCTTTGTAGGTTTGGAATTTGTCTGATGGACAAATCGACCAGAATCAATTAAGGAGAAAACAGCAATTTGAAAATATTTTTGATAGTCAGGGCTAGTGGGGAGGGACATATGGAAGGGGAAGATTTATTAAATACATTAGATAACATTTCTGATGCCCTCCTTTTCTGTTTTATGTATACAGAATTTAATGATTTGTATCATGCACTTAATCTCATGTTTTATTTTAAGATTATTCAATGTAGAGATTGTGAATTTGGTATACCCATCTTCAAACTAAGGAAATGAAAGTAGTTTATTCTGCTATATTACTAAGTTTTTTTAAAAAAATAGATATATACTTTATTGTTATATACATAATAAAAACCAAGTTACATGAGTGGCATCCTCTAGGGTAAGATGGATAAGATACTAGATACTACACACACACACACACACACACACACACACATACACACACACACACACACGAAATGTGTGAATACTAATGCTTGGTCTGTTAAGTATTCACACAATTTGATATATCAGAATAAGCATTAGTGTTTACACAAAGAATCCCTACAAATCAGTTTGTAAAAGCCATCAGAGCAGCAAGAGATATGAATTCCAATGGCCAATAAATCCACAACGAAAGGCTCAAACTACTAGTGTTGGGAAGCGGCAGACTCCTTACCATGCTTTATGAGATCTTGCAAGATCTGACTTTTTTCCCTGTCCTTAAACTCATCTCATAACATTGTTTCCTTGTTTCCATACTTAAGTTCAGCCTACCTCTTTTCCATTTTCAGATTTGCTAAACTCTTTCCTATTTTCCGCCTGAAACAACTTATCCTGGCATTTAAAAAATTTGTTTCACAGCACGATCCCTAATCATTTTGTTTGTTTGATTCTTCGTTTTCTGTTTCTCATTTGAAGCTACATGAAGTTAGGGACTTTGTGTTATTTTCCACTCTATCCCCAGTGCCCTGCCCAGTGCTTGGAACATAGCAGGAACTAAAAATACGAGATGATAATAGTGCCTATCATTGATTACTGAAAGAACTGTTAAACATTTAGTTGAGGATTTTCTACACAGGAACTGGGAATAAGAGATTATGTTTGGCCCTCATATTTTCTCCTATCCTCCTTGCCTCATTCTATGTCTAATGTATTCTCAAGCAAATAAGGTTAGCATAATCCGGAAATCTGCCAAATACCAACATAAACATAAAACCAGATGTCTATCCTTAAGATTTTCAAATAGAAAACAAATTAACAGATTATGTACTAGTTGAAAGTAATTGTTTATAGTCATTGTAATGGTTGGGTCCTTCTGAAATGAGAAAATTCAATAAATATATGACTTTGATTTTTTTATGTGGCTAGTCTTCCACATAGTGTCTAATTGCTGTCACATCTTTGAGCTCATTCTCGATCCTATGTTACTCCTGATGTTTACTCATATGGTTTTGGTTAGGTATTATTTAGATGAACAAGGTGGGGCAACGATTTCAGTTTCCTATATTACTTGATAAAAATTAAGAAATTAATGGTTTGCTTTTTTTCTTCAATAAGAGTTTCATCCAAGAGACTGAGCCAGAATTCACATACCACCTTTATCCCCCTGTTAAATGTCATTTTATTCCTTCCTAAAACCTTTTTTTTTTTGACAACCAAACTTGGTTTTATATCTTTCTTCCTTAACTCCCCTGATTAGGTAAAGAAAAAAAAGTAGTATTTGTATGTGTGCAAGCCAACCCTGTTCAAGGTGGCTATCTTAGATACTTTAACAAAGGGATCCCCAACCCCTGGGCTACAGACTGGTACCAGTCCATAGCCTGTTAGGAACCGGGCAGCACAGCAGGAGGTGAGCAGCAGGTGAGCGAGCATTACCACCTGAGCTCTGCCTCCTGTCAGATCAGTGGCAGCATTAGATTCTCACAGGAGCATGAACTCTATTGTGAGCAGTGCATGCAAGGGATCTAGGTTGTGCGCTCCTTATGAGAATCTAACTAATGCCTGATGATCCGAGGTGGAACAGTTACATCCTGAAACCATCCCTCCTAGCCCTGTCCCTGGAACAATTGTCTTCTACAAAGTTGGTCCCTGGTGCCAGAAAGGTTGGAGACTACTGCTTTACCATAATTCCTTTGTACCTCTTATGACACATTTTAGTTATTTGTGATAATTTTTTCTGCCCTTATTAGATTATGAATACTTCTAGAGCAATGTAGGTGAGTTTTATTATTTGTTTTTAGGAACCTAATAAATATTTGTTGAACCTAAGAAATATTTGTTGAAGAAAGGAAAGATGGATGAGTGGTGGGTACATTTAATGTCATCCTGTAGTTTCATTTCCTTGTGTATGAAAGGAAGGGAGATGAATTTTATTTAAAAAAATCTAAGAATAAAAGCTTCGTTTTTCCTCCTCCATTAAGATTTTTAATTAAATTAACTGATTATTTTTTAGACATAGGGTCTTGCTTTGTTACACAGGCTAGAGTGCACCGGTGTGATCACAGCCTCAAACTCCTGAGATTAAGCAAGCCTCCTGAGTAGCTGGGACTGACTATTGGTGTGTGTCACCACCCTGGCTAATTTTCTTTATATTTTTAGTAACAGGAGTCTCACTATGTCGCCCAGGCTAGCTTTCAACTCCTGATCTCAAGTGATCATCCCACCTTAGCATCCCAAGTAGCTGGAATCACAGGCATGAGCTACCACACTCAGCCCATTGAGTTTTAAAACCTCCCTAATCATAGATATAACAGTTGGAGAATTCTGTTCAGGTTTAATGACAGTGTTTTATATCATGCCCAGATGGAGCTAAGCAAAATAAATAGATTTAACTGTGTTTGTACTAAGTTACTGAGCCACTTTTGGAATCTAAAAAACATTTAATAAATTCCTGCCTTTTTTCTGCCCATTTCATTATTGGTTATAGTTATTAAATTTAGGAATAACCAGGAGATACTATAAGGGGATATATTTATAATGTATTAAATATGATATATCTTAGAGAAGATGGGCTACTCAGGAGGCTGAGGCAGGAGAATTGCCTGAACCCAGGAGGTGGAGGTTGCGGTGAGCCGAGATCACACCATTGCCTCCAGCCTGGGTAACAAGAGCAAAACTCCGTCTCAAAAAAAAAAAAAAAAAAAAAAAAAGAAGATGGTTAAACTAAGTCTAAGATATTTCAGTATATAAAAATGCCTCTTGAAGTCCTTATCTTAAAAATATTTGATATATCAAATCTATCTTTCATATTCTCAGAATGGCACAGAGAAGACATAAAAGAGTAAGAACTTGGACTCGTCACATAAACATTTTTAATAAAGATTACATCTTTGTACCTGTAAATGAGTCGTAAGTATTTCAGATTATTTAAAAACGTATTGGAAAGCAGAAAAAAAATTTTGTGGTGGTTTTAGATTCATAATCAGTAAAAATCATGGGCACATACATTTCAGGTATTATTTTAATTTTTTAAAATAAAAGTACCTAAGACAATGAATTCCGTATCTTGGATTTTGGTTTGACAATGGTTATGTTGTAAAAGTAGTGAAAAAAAATTACAAATGACCGCAAGACTATAATGACTGAGACACTGAATTTTTTTTGTTTGGATTTAAGAAAAAATTTTCTAAATAAAAAATAAAAATACTTTTGGGTGAATCTTCAAATACTTAAGAAAACAAACTCTTCAAGCACCAACATGAAAAAGGTAATGCTGTGAGTCCATTTATTAAGGCAAATCCTTAATAGGAAACACTTGTATGAAAGTAAATAAGTTTGAATTACTCAGATGTTACTCTAAATAGTGTTACTTATGCCTTTGTAGCTCTGGATATTTAATTAGTTTTGGTATGTATTGTCTATATTGTAGTGAGATATTATAGTGGATGTCTTCAAAATTAATATGAAAGGTTATGCCCACTTTCTCAAAATGTATCTGTAGAAGATATTCTACATTGTTTGGACTTTGCATGGTATTAAGACTGTAGTTCTTTTTCAACAGGTCTCACTGGTATCTCGCAGTCATTTGTTTTCCGTGGTTAGAAGAAGTTGTGTATGAAGATTTCCCACAAACTGCATCCCATCAGTCCCAGGCTCAGCAGTCCCAGCCTGACAACAAAACAATAGGTGACATCCTTAACATAGATCGTGTTTTTAATAATGATGACAGTAATATAATGGTTACAGGGAACAAATGAAGTTAAAGGTTGTATAGTTATTTATTATCATTGAACCTACCTAGCTGGAAGAATAAAAAAAACCTGAAATTTTTATGATAGCCTCGTTATAGACAAAATGAAATTCTGAAGTTGTACTGTTGTATCAAGTTTTATTATAGCACTTAAAATACTAATTATTTTATTATGAAATATTTCAAACATATAAAAAAGTATAATTAATATGATCAACATCAGTACCTATTTCATCTGGATTAAGAAATTAAAACTTTTCCAATACAATAATCTCCTCTGTGACCACTCCCATTTCTTTCTTTAATCCAGAAGTAACCACTACCCTAAATTTTATGTTTATTTTCATGTATTATTATTATTTCCATTGGCATTTTTTGCTTGTTTTAACTTAAAAAAATTGACAGGTAAAATTTCACGTATTTACTATTTACAACATCCCTTTTTTTTTTTTTTTTTTTTTTTAAAGAGACAGAGTCTTGGTATAGTGCAGTGGCTCCATCATAGCTAACTGTAACCTCAAACTCCTGGACTCAAGTGATCCTCCTGATTAGTTAGGACTACAAGGGTGTACCAGCATACCTGGCTCATTTTTAATTTTTTTTTTGTAAAGACAGGATCTCACTAAGTTGCCCAGGCGGGTCTGGAACTCCTGGCCTCAAGCAGTCCTCCCACCTCAGGCTCTCAAAGTATTGGGATTACGCCACATGTGGTTACAAGATGATGTTTTGAAATATATATACATTGTGGAGTGACAAAATCTAGCTAATTAACAATATTATAACATTTAAAAAAATACACTAGCTTTGCTAACATGACTAAGAATTCATGCCATAGATCTCCAGGCGTAGCTTGAAATCCCCCATTTTTACTTAATGTAATTTCTTGTAGACTCTATTAGTTTGGCTAGGTAATATAGGATCTTTCTTAATTCTTCCATGAGTTTTCCTACAAGCCAAAATCTAAAGTAAATAAGCCTACTTTCTTTGAGAAGAAAAATAACAAAATTAAATGTTTTATAGCTGTAGCCTAAACAGTAAGCCAAATGAAAAATAGCCTTTACCATTAATACTGGCCAAAACCTACATGGGGAAAAAGATAAACTGATGAAGCAACTGATTATGTTTGATTATCTTGAAACCTACTAAGCCTCAAATACATACTTTTACAAAACTCTGTGATCATAGTTAGAAGCACCATTATTAGGCAAATTAACTACCTTCTGTATTAAACAGCAGACATTTTGATTAATGAGCTGTCTTTGAAGATTGTCTTTTTATAGGGAATTTGCCTAGCTAACTAGTATTTCAGATCATGGCTCTGCGGCTTACCTGTTATTTGATAACAGCCAACCATTGTCAGTTTTAACTACCTGTTGATTGAATTTTATTTATAACATTTGTCATGAAAAAAATTAAATAGATCTCAGGTATTTTTACTGTGCATCCAGTAACTGCATAAAAATTATAATTTTAAGCTTATCTAAGTTACCAGTATAAAAACATACAATAAACACTTATAATTGCTTAATTATTTCTAACTAGATGATGATCTACATCCTACTTCGACACTGTCTTTGAGTACAGAGGATTCCCAAGTAAGTGTGTTCTTTACAGATGGGAAGGAAGGAAAACTCATGAATATAATAATGTTATCTATAACATAGAGCATAGCTAGGTGGACTGTGCTGGCACATCATTAGATTGTTTGCTTTTATGATTCTTTGACAGTTTTTGTTGGGCTGGGGAAGAGAACAAGATAAGTTATTATTGTATCTGTTTAGCTTGCTTTAACTAAATTATTTAGTAGTTTATCTGATGTTCATCTGTCTTTACTTTTCAAATTTCTAAGGATCAGATTTACTTTTATTCTTTATTTTGTCAGTAACTTGTTGAACTTAGGTAATTAATAATCTTAAGCATATTGTAGGTTCGTTTCTTTCCTTGTTTCTTTCTTTCTTTTTTTCTTTTCTTTTCTTTTTTTTCTTTTCTTCTTTTTTCTTTTCTTTTCTTTTCTTTCCTTTCTTTTCTTCCTTTCTTCCTTCCTTTCCTTCCTTTCCTTCCCTTCCTTCCTTCCTTTCTTTCCTTCTTTCCTTTTCTTTTTTTTTTGATGGAGTCTTGCTGTTGCCCAGGCTGGAGGGCAGTGGTGCGATCTGAGCTCACTGCAACCTCCCCATCCTAGGTTCAAGTGATTCTCCTGCTTCAGCCTCTTGAGTAGCTGGGATTACAAGTGCCCACCACCGTGTCTGGCTGTTTTGTATTTTTTTGTTTTTTTTAGTAGAGATGGGGTTTCACTATGTTGGCCAGACTTGTCTCGAACTCCTGACCTCAGGTGATCTACCTGCCTTGGCCTCCCAAAGTGCTGGGATTAGAGGTGTAAGCCACCACGCCCAGCCAGAAAGTTCTGGTAAAAATCATTCAAAGTGGACTAAGAGTGAATCCATGTAACTCCTTAGTTCATTTACTCTTCTTTATTTGGAGCTCCAAACTGATCTGCATAGTCTAGGTTCAGTGTTCTAATTGATTAAGATTGCCACTTAATGCTCTTTTTTTTGTATGTACAAATAGCAACAGAGTCCCTGACATAGTCCTATGTATTTACTGTCACTGATACTGTCACTTCTTATAAAGGAAGATTTCTTTTCTTGCTAGTCACAGTGGTAGAATAGGACCATTCCTTCTTGCCTCTAGAACCAGATTTCTCAAATTGAGTTTCTTGGAATATTCATTCTAAGACGCAGTTCGTGATGAGCAGGATTCTAAGGTCAATTAAGTTGGGCAAACTTTGTGTACTCTTTCTGTCTTAGAGAACCATTGTGTATATTAAAATAATAAAAGCACTGAGAAGGTCTGCATTAAATAAATCTGTTTGATCTGTGGTTTCTCAAACTTATGAAGAAAACAAACAACATGAACAAAACAAAATTCCCCATCCCCTTTCCCTTAATATAGATTAATGTTCTGCATCTTGTGCTTCAAAGAGGAGAAAGATGTCTCTACTGATGTCATGAATTGAATTAGAGAATGTATGTAAAAACACGTTAAATTAACTTGTTTACCTTTGTTAAGAAAATAACTTGGAATGGAAGTAATTAAAGTTCCAGATTGGTTTTTAGGACAAGTTAAAACTCCTTAACTACTTGAGACCACATGTAAAAGTACATAACCTACCATTTTACCTGTATAATAAAATAAATCAATAAATTCATGGAAAATGAAGTTAGTTCACTTTAGATGATGAAGATAACTATTATTTGAAATTTTAATTTCAAAGTTTGAAACACTTTAAAATAGTAACAGAATAGTAAGTTATTCAAAATAGCTTTAATTGCAGTCATAAAAATTTGTTATTTCAGAGTACCGAGTTGAATATGTCAGTACCAAAGAAAATGTGTAAAAGGTAGGTACATGCTATAATAATAATACAGTTTTTTCAGGTATTTAGATATACTTTGTACACAAGTATATAAATCTGGATTTTGTCCTTTGCTTTTCATAGGCCATGTATTCTTATACTAGACTCCTTGAAAGCTGCTTCTATACAAAACACAGTTCAGAATTTACGAGAGTAAGTAATGAGAATTTTACCATTCAATCTGTTATCTAAAGCCTTAGTGATTTTGAAGTTACCTTAAGAATTATTGAAAAGATATCAAAAATTATATTTTATTATCTATTTAAACAAGCCTATAAATTTAATCAATAATAAATATCTTCTGTTAATATTCAAGTATTAATATTTCTAAAGGATTAGATCAAAGGTAAATTCAGAATTTGTATTCATAATTGAACAAAAAGCATAGTTTTACAAGGAAGCATTGTATTGAGTATCAAAAATACCACTTTAGAAAAAAATAAGAATTCTTCCACATTTGTATCATTATGTGTGTTTGTGTATATATGTATGTATGTATATGTAATTTTGTAATTTACTGTAGTACTTGGAAAAAACTAATGATGAAACTTTTAAACTGATTTCTTTGTCGAGTTGTGAAAGTTGAGTTGTTGAAACAAGTTTAGCTTTTAGTTTGAAAATCACATTACATATTTTCTTTAAAGTAGCACTCATGAAGGCTCATAAAATATAGGTTGCACTGGTAAAATTCAGTCTGGAAATTTGGCTCAACAGCACATCTGGCAAGAAACATTTTTCTGCCTTTGTGAAAATGTTGCATACTGATAAAGAGATTTCAACTTTAGACACTCTGTTGATTATTTCAGGTATTTAGAGGTAGAGTGGGAAGTTAAGCTAAAAACTCATCGTGAATTCAGCAAAACAAACATGGTGGATCTATGCCCTAAAGTTCCTAAACAGGACAATAGCAGTGATTGTGGAGTATATTTACTGCAATATGTGGAAAGCTTCTTCAAGGTATGTGAAGATATAGATAAGTTTTAAATTCACAGTTACCACCATACAGTCACAAGTTAATGGGTGTAATAGTACGTTCTCATTGCTGTGAATAAAGACCAGAGATTGGGTAATATATAAAGGGAAGAGGTTTAATCGACTCACAGTTCACCATGGCTGGGGAGGCCTCAGGAAACTTACGATCATGGTGGAAGGGAAACAAACATGTCCTTTTTCACATGAGGGCAGCAAGGAGAAGAATGAGAGCTGAGTGAAGGGGGAAGCCCCTTATAAAACCATCAGATCTCATGAGAACTTACTATCATGAGAATAGCATGGGGGGAACCACCCCCGTAATTGAGTTACCTCCCACCAGGTCCCTCCCACCACAGTGGGATTACAGGAACTACAATGCAAGATGAGATTTGGGTGGAAGCGCAGCCAGACTGTATCACTGCAAGCAAAGAGGCAGGCAAATGTTACACGTAATCAAGACTTTAAAAAAAAAAAAAAGATCCACAGGTGATGCAGATACTGTAATTAGCAGATAAGAACTTTAAAATGATTTGATTAATAGGTTAGAGAAAATAAAGCCAAAGATGAAACAATATGGTTGAAGACATGGAATATACCAAAAACAAAAAACACATAGACATTTTAAAGCTGAAGATGTGTAATGATATATCTGAAATTAAGAACTTATTGGATGGGTTTAATAGAGGACTAGATGCAGTAGAAGATAGGGTTAGTGAACTTAAAGAAAGGACAATAAAAAATATCAAACTATAGTCCAGAGACAAAAAAGAATGTGAAGATGAGAACAGAGCTTAAGAGGCAAATATGAAACAGTCAAAAGGTATAATTTACATGTTACTGGAGTCCCAGAAGAATTGGAGAGAAAGAGAGAGAATAGGGCAGAGACAGTATTTTAAAGAAAATTTTCTAAAATGAAAAGACCTGTTTCTTCAAGAAGCTCAGAAAACTGTAACTGGAGAAGTACAATGACAAACATGGCTGTTATTTTCTAGCTCACAGAGACTTTGTAGGACTGTAGCAATATTAAAGATGAAATTTTAAATAGCAAGGAATCACTCTTTGCTTTTTGAACTGTTAGCTTGTTATTTCAGTCATTGCCATTATAGTGTATGAAGATGAGTCTAGTAAAGGATGTTTTTGACCAGAAGTCTGCTTGGAGGATGCTTAATGGCACTTTGAAAGCATGAGGGTTGTAGTATGCAGCTACAACTTTTTGATGTCTTTAATGTTAGAGAGGAAGGATAATATATAGTAAAAAATAGTATAAATTTTGGAAATCATTATATATCTATTATGTTGGGTTTTTCCTCCCTTTTTTATTCCACACTAGAACTTCATCATAGGGTGTCAGGTTTGGGCCCTCTCATACCCTTTCCAAATAGATTTGATTTTGTGTTTTGAATATTCACATTGCCTTATTACATAACATGTTATGAGTTTGTTGCATAATTCTACTTTACATAGCCCAGTCAGTAGAATATACATCGAATACAGGATGAAGCACCATATAAGATTCCTGGGAAAACCCTAAAAAGTCCAAGACTCGTGTTTTGCAAATTTGATGCACTAATATAAGATAGCTTAGGTTTAAAACATGGGCTTAAGGCAGACCACTAAAAACCTGTGGAACTTTGTTTGTAATTAAGCCCTAACAAAAATAATATTACTTCTAATAAAAAAATTAGCGCAGTAAATCTCCACCACCATTTGCTCCTGGACTCATAGTCAGTACCTTCTTTCAGCTTTACACCCTTGGGCTCTTAATTCCTTCTTTAAGATGTAAGTCCTTCTTACATCTGGCTTCTAATAATTCCATTAAGTTTATAAACATGTGCTAAGGTGAGCCCTATACAGAAATCTTTTTTTTTTAAACACAGAGGGAATGTCCTTTGCAATTTCCTGTTTGCTTAACATAATTGAAATGATAGTGATTCTTGAAGCCATTAAATCAGCTATTTCTTGCACTGAAAGAAGGCACTTTGCAGGATTTTTCATTTTTAATCTGAGATTTTTCATTTACTACTAAGGCTTTCTCTTTAATAGTTTCAAAGTCTTAACATGTTGGGAAAAATTGTGATAAAACCAACTTTATTATTCTGAATCATTCACTGTTTACTAATTCTGTTTGTGCTAATTCATTTAAACATAACACTGTAGCAGAACAGAGTATTTAATTTTGATGTTTAAAAGTTAACAATTTGATAAAAATGTCCTAAAATTGATTGCGGAAACGGTTATACTGTGAATATAATAAAAAATGCTTAATTGTATGCTATTGGTGAAGTGTATTATGTGAATTATATTTTAATAAAATTGTTGTTTTAAAAATTAGCAATTCTCATTTCTTGTAAAAATGAAATTAAAACAAATGTGAAATTATGTTGCCAAAGTGATTGCACTCTTTCTTTTTTCTCATTAGGATCCTATTGTTAACTTTGAACTTCCAATTCATTTGGAGAAATGGTTTCCTCGTCATGTAATAAAGACCAAACGGGAAGATATTCGAGAGCTCATCTTAAAACTTCATTTACAGCAACAGAAGGGCAGCAGTAGCTAGTTAATCTGTACAAACATGACACAGATGTTCTCTAAGATTACTGGAAAGCCTCTTACCAGCATTTGTGTTAGCCAGCTCACAGAGAAGAAAATAACTTGCCGTAGTTTTATAAGTCATTGGAACGTTATTTAAAATACATGAGATATATTATTAGAGTTGTTGGGATCTCATAGATGGAGTAGGAATGGGGGTGATATAGATAAACTTATTAGATATAAATTAAAATTTTATAAATATTTCATATTTTTCTGAGTAAATATGCTTGGATTATGCAATAGTATATGTAATGTGGGAATGTTTTTGTAGATAATAAAACTTATGTGATCTGTACTTCCACATAACTGGGTGTTGAGGGGAGTTAAAGCCTCCCTGGTGCCAGCCCCAGTGCTTGTCAAATTTGTTGACAAGTCACATCATATTGTAATTCTATTCTTTGCAGCTCAAGCATGCAGTATGAATACTGTGTATTTTTTAAAAAAAGAATTTAGTATCAAGGCTTCAGAAAATGCCATTTACGGCATCCCTTCTGTATGTAACAAAAAGACATTCGTAATGTTAGGAAGATGATAAAAATTCGCTCTTTTAAGGTGCAGCTTATTATTCTCAATTGCTAAATGCAGTTACTCTGCTCTATTTTTTTCATTTCTTTTGATGTCATATGTGGGTATAATTTAGTTCATTTGTTCAGGGTAAATCTACAACAAAAAATTTTAGCTGTCCAAAATAGTTTTTAAAAAATTGTACCTGTAGCTCAACTTAGTTTATTTGAGGTATAGTTATATAAATATTCACTGTTTCATTATCATTGAATATATGTATAGTTTCTGTAATATAGAAGATAAAATTGGTGTCCTCATAACTTTAACAAAGAAAACCCTCAGTCCTATTTATTAATGGTTAGAATTAAATATATAATTTTATAACTCAGTTTACCCAGTATTCATCTGCAAAGCCAGATTGCTCTCATTGCTTTTATATTTTTAAACTGTAGTTTTTAGAGACCTATGATACTCATGGAGCTTAATTTTTTATTAAGTATTCAGGTAACAGTTCTGAATTCATGTGATGATGGTGGCATTATATACGGTTAAACACTTCAGAACTTTCTAATGTTATCAGGAATATTTTGAGGGAGATATAATTATATTGTATTTTCTCAGATAAGAAAAATGTTTTTTAACAATATTATTTTAATCTTCTGTTTTAAGCATCCCTTGGATTTACATTATAACTATGTAAAGCAGTGAAGCAAAGGCAATTTTAGATAAAGCTAGAAAGTCTGAACGTTTTATTTCAAAATCATGTGAATTGAGGTGGTCATTTAAGCCTCAGTATCCTTAGCTTTTGTTGATTTTATCACTATCTTTATATTATTACAAAGATATTTGTCTTTTGGAGATTTCGTATAAAGATGGCTATAATTACATATTTTCTTTCCCAATTTGTGTGTGTTCGGGGGGCACTTTTAAAGCTGACTGTTGTTTTATACATCTACTTTTGGGAAAACAAGTGTATAAGACATCTTGTGATTTCTTAACGTTTTTGTTTGTGTGCTCTTCAAAGATACCACTGTCCTTTATGGTGTTTTGAAGCTTGTTTAAAATTCATTTTCCTAAATTAATGTGCAAATAATGCTTTGAGGATATCAATGTTTTATATTAAACATATTTCCAGTTCATTAAATTGAAGTGTAATTTTTTTCTTAAGAAACATGAGCTACCATTAGAAGTAAATTTCCAATTGTATGCTGCTCCGTGCATATCGTGAAATTGATGCTTACATTAATTTTTCTTCATATTTTATTAAGCATATAGTTTGAGTGTCATTTCAGTTCAGGGAAATTATTTAACATATACTGGTAGGCATTTTGCTAGGCACAAGAAATGAATGACAGCTTTTGTTCCTGAGTCATTTATGGTCATGTGAACATTTAAAATATTCTCTGGTAAGAACAACCATAGGGCTTCTTTGGGAATGCAGGAAGGAGCTCAGCTAGAGAGGGGTGTGTATGTGTTAGAGGAGGTACAGAGGTGGTGAGAAGGTCGTTAGTGAACAGAGCAAGCCTTCCTAGAGAAGATAATATTATTTTAAATTTACAGCTCTTGGGATGTAAAAAAAGGAGTTATTATATAAATCATATCCAATCACCTAATTACGACTTTAAAAAAGTTAAATAACCTTTTGAAATCGACTTCTTTTATGGCAAGAGGAAAAAGGGGTTTCAACTTGGCATAGAGATCCTGTCCTTTATCTTGTTCCAGCCTGTATTCTGTTTTCATCTTTCCATCGTCCTCTACTTTTGCAGTTGTATAAAATTATTCACTCGTGTATTTAGGTTCTTCCCCCTGCAGTCTTTTGTAACTAAGCTTGTCCCTTTGGAAATTTGGAAGCTTTGCCCTTGCATTGTTAAGAGCCATGGTTTTGTGTGTATGAGGCTTCTGTCTGCTTCTGGGGCCTGCTCCCACCCAGGTGGTCTCTTCTGTGACAACTTAGTGCATCCTTCTTGGGGGCTGAAAAAATCAGTCAGGACTCCTATAAAGACTCCAGATGAAGATGTACTTTACATGAAATTATTATTATAACACTGTTTCCTGTGCCGTAATTTTCTACAAAGTAAGCCTGGAGCCATGTTTTGCCCCCTGAGTGTGAATGTCACTTTGAACCCAAGTCTAAAGATGCTTGTGCGGAGTGGGTGTTGTGACATTGTCCTGCCATCCCTTTTCACCAATTCTTGTGGACTTTATTTTTTCAAAATTGAACTCAAATGTTACTACCCCTACACCTATTCAAACAATACTTCATTCCCTCTCCTGCTCCCCTGCAACAGTTTGTATATACTTCTCTAATTACTTTTTAAATATTATTTGTATACATGTTTTTCTCTTTAGACTGTAAGCTCCTCAAAGACTGGAAACATTTTTCCATTTCCTGATTAAGTATGTTAGTAGCTTATAGTAAACACTCAGACAATTTTGTTGAGTCAATCAATGATTTGTAACTAAGTTTGGATGAAGGAATCTGTATTGGTTGTCTCTAGAGTACAGAGTTTTATGTTTAGTTTCTCATGTGCTTATGATTTTGGGACATTTCTTGAACCAAAAAAAGGTTCAAGGACCATCCTATGAGATTTTGAAATATTACCTAAAAAGAATCCCCTTAAATACAAACTCAAGGAATATTTTTTTCTGAGTAATTAAACATTAGAGCATAGAACAAATTGCCTCATCTGTCAGTAAAAATCCAAAATTCCTGCCAAAACTTTCGAGGTATTCTATAATCTCAACCTTTTGAGCCTTCATTCCCAACCTATTTGCAGTATGCTCCTATCCTGCTCTAGCAACTGCCTTCCTGTTTTCTGTATAAACAGTATACTTCTCCACCTTACTGATCACGACTGGAGATTTCTTTCCTAACCCTTATTTTTTCCCACTAACAATCCCTACCTCTGCCCACTGAAATAGTGAAATGCCAAGTAGGCCATTCAAGGCCCGGCTGAAATACCTGCCCCCTGCTTCCCACCCCCGCCCCTTGCTTTTACTAGTTAGAGTTACTCCTGCTTTTGGATTCCTATGATACAAACTTACAACGGCTATCACCTACTGCTTTGTATCATAGATACAGTTATTCTAAGAGTGATGCAGTTAAAAGTTACAAATCCAACAAAGGTCAAGTTAAATTGAATTTGAAAAATGATGACCATATTTAGAAACAAATGAACCCAGCTGAATTTCTTACACTTTTTTTTAAAGTACAGGTTTCTGAAATTATATATTTTATAGAACATAATGTAATAAATGTTTTAGAAGCTTTTATGTCAATTATTTTAAATGTAAGTTAATGGAAAATTTATTTTGGAGGTTGAATAAAATAGAATTTCAAAGCTTGAAACATCTTTGGACTTTGTGAACACCTGCAATATAAGACGATTACTGTTTACAAAGTTTACTAGTAATACAAATACATTAGTTTACAGAGAACTTTAGTATCTCATAATTCTTAACAATGACCCTGTGATACAGGTAGAGATTATCACACATAATTTTTTTGGTGAGCAAACCAGCTCAAAGAGCTTAGGTTATTTACCAAAGTCGAATATTAAGTGATAAAACCAGGATTTGAGCCCAGGTTTTCTCAATCTAAGTACAGCAGTCTTTCTAGATTACTATGATTCTCAGAAGATTTTTTAGCTTTTTGGTCGAGGCTGTCAAAAAGAATAATTTCCAACTAATATCTGTTACCTAAGAGTTGTCCCTTGTTCTGAATTGACAACGTGAAACTTTTCATAAGACTAAACTTTGGCTTAGCTAATAAAATTTTCGGCTTTTTTCTCCTACTCATACAATAAATTTGGCAAATAAGTTTCTTATGAACTTACCAGTATTTTGCAAAGACAACTATGCACATGTATTTAATGGTCATTTAGATTTGTTAGCTTTTATAAAGGCTGAAAATGTGGTTTATTTGAGGCTATATTGAAAAAAATATACTTGAGCTTTTCCTAAAGCATAAAATAACATGGCGTGTGATTTAGCTAACACAATTAGTCAAGGAATCTCAAGAGAAATGTGGTTTAGATCTTTACAAAGCACTTTTTTTTTTTTCCAGAGAACTTTCCCAGCAATAACATGAAATAAAATATAATTTCATTGCTATTCGATAGTAAATCCTAGTTTCCACAGGGATTCTGACTAATTTAATTGCTTTCTACTAGTTGTATTTGATTTAAAAACTGTTCTAATATAGAGAATTTCATCTGCAGAGAAAATCTTTTCTTGGTTAAGAGTTCATCATATAGACAAACATACTGGGCCTCACATTTGATGGCAAATTAAACAACAAAGTTATCCCACAGCTATCATTTATGTTAACTGCTTAATAATATGTTCCAGGCACTATTCTAAGCAATGTGAAGATTAAACTAGTTAATTTAATCTGCACAGTAGCTCTACCATAAGCTTACTATTTCTATTCTATTTTATAGATAAGGAAGGAGACAAAATAAGTGATTTTTTTCTGTCAAGGAAGGACATTTGCAAGAAAGTTTCATTACAAAAACTAAATTTGTTATGTACGTAGCTCTGTATTATTGAAGTAGGTAGATATAGTCAGTCTGAACATTATATGCGTATATATCTTAGTCTCTAGGAAAACCCGGAGAACATGTGACTCTATCAGTTTCAACTAATAGATTCAGAAAAGCTGGAAAAATCAGTGAATTATATGTGAAACACATTATTCTTAATGGACTGCTTGTTAAAGGCAAGGAGAGTGTTAGTAAAGAGCTTAGCTAGCTAGATTAGAATAAAGAAATTGTCTCTCTCCATCTGTCCTAATTAGCTTAACTCACCCGCTTTTATAGCATGCTGGTTATTTCAGAAAAGAAGTGAGAGCTGCTTTGAAAGGACAGCCGTTTTTCTTTATGCTAATTTATAATGGTTTCGAAGTGGTTGTTCATTCTCAAACACAGGTTTTTAAATGTTAGGTCTTTCCTATAACTCTTTGTTATTGGAAGTTTCAAGGATTTGGACGCTCAGTTAAGGATTTTGTCCTCTCCTCGTTCCTTTGGTTTTGGCTCAAATGATTATGTTTCCTTTTTTTGGGAAGATTTCTTTGGGTATTTTGATATTTGTCCTGATAGAAGGAGACTTTTCATCATTAACAGGTATTTAAAACTCTACATTTGTTTTTATCCTTCCATATCTGTAGTATATTCTCTTTAAAAATAGCATTATTTGATGTGATTTCTGTAAGAAACTGAATCAAATGCTACTTTATTAATTTTTGATATTGCTTCTTTTAAACTATTTAAAAATGTTTCCAATAATTTTGGTTTTCCCTCCTCTTCAGTAATTCTGGTTTAAACCTTTTATTTATTTTTTTGAAATTGGATGTATACTTACTTGATTTTTGATAACAATCTTGAATTAAAGGAGTGGGAGTTAAATGGAAAAAGATTGAATGCTTCACTCCTCTTATGCTTAGATGTGCACGCCTATGATTTGAGCATTGGCTTCTGAATCCTAATGTAGCACAAGTGTCAGTTTTTATTTATTTGTTACCTTTTATACTGTATCTTCATTATCAGAAGACTTGATTACACTTTCACTTTGTAGCACAAACCTACTTATCTTTAGAGGAGATCCAAGAACCCAAGAGTACAGTTTCTTTTCTCCTGCCTGAAGAATCAACAGACCTTTCTCTAGCTACCCAAAAGAAACAGCCTCTGGACCGCAGAGAAACTGAGAGACAGTGGTTACTCAGAAGGCGGAGATCTATTCTGTTTCCTGATGGAGTAAAAATCTGCCCAGATGAAAGTGTTGCAGAGGCTGTGGCAAATCATGTGAAGTATTTTAAAGTTCGAGGTAAGCAAACATTCCAATCCTTCAGCTCCATAGTGAAATTCAAACATAGTTCAATCATTTGTTAGGTAACATTGTAAGTCAAAAATTTTGATAATTTAGACAGGACTGAGCCAAAACTACCTTTTTGTTGCTAAGAATATAATATTAATGTAACGTCAGAGAACAGTTTACATTAAGAGAGGAGGTATTTTTTTTCCCCAGTGCCCTTCAATTAAGGCAATAGTATCATTTAATAATTACATGCACTTAACCAAAGGAAGAACACTTTCATGATTTGAGTTTGTAGGCTTTTGGTATGTTATGTAAGAAACTTTTTTCACA